ATGGATGGACCTTGAGGGAATTATGTTAAGTGAAATAAGCCAGCGAGAGAAGGATAATCTGTGTATGACTCCACTCATATGAGGAATTTAAAATTATGGACTAAGAACAGTTTAGTGGACACCAGGGGAAAGGTGGGGTGGGGGGTGGGCACAAAGGGTGAAGTGGTGCACCTACAACACGAATGACAAACGTTAACGTACAACTGAAATTTCACAAGATTGTAACCTATCAACTCAATTAAAAAAAAAAAAAAGAAATGTGCCTGGTGCGGCTGAGGAACTGAATTTATTTTATCTTATTTTAATTGATTTATACTTAAAAACTGAAGTGATATAAAATATTTTTCCACTAAACACAATTTTATTTTTTGTGTTTCATTTCATTTTAACCGTTACCACTTTAGCATCTGAAGATTCATGCCGAGTGTAAAATAGATACCAGATTTCAGACTTCATATGAAGAATGTAAAATAGCTCACTAATAGTTATTATATAATGATAATATCTATTATTGTTATGTTTTATTGAAATGATAATATTTTGGAAGTATTGGGTTAAATTAAATGTAGGATTAAAATTAAGTTCCCGGGGCTGGCCCGGTGGCGCAGTGGTTAAGTGCGCACGTTCTGCTTCAGTGGCCCGGGGTTCACAGGTTTGAATCCCGGGTGTGGACCTAGCACTGCTCATGAAGCCATGCTGTGGCAGGCGTCCCACGTATAAAGTAGAGGAAAATGGGCACAGATGTTAGCTCAGGGCCAGTCTTCCTCAGCAAAAAGAGGAGGATTGGCAGCAGCTAGCTCAAGGCTAATCTTCCTAAGAAAAAAAAAAAAATAAAAAAATAAAGAAAATTAAGCTCCCTTGTTTCCTTTCGCTTTTTAAAATGTGGCTACTACAAAACTTCAAATTATGTATGTGGCTCATGTTATATTTGTATTAGAAAGCATTGCTCTCGAGCTGTGCGGTCCAACATGGGAGCCACCGGCCACAGGCGGTTACTGAAATGTAACAATTGCAATTCAGCTCCTCCGTGGCAACAACCTCATTTCAAGTGCTCACTTGCCACATACGGCCAGTGGCACCTACCTGGACAGCCCAGATACAGAACCTGTCCATCACTGCCGGAAGTTCTATAGGACAGTCCTGTTCTGGAGTTGAGGAAAAACAACTTTACACACATTTTGGGAATCTGCCCTTAACTCGTTCCGAGACACTCCAGACCTCAGCTTCCCCATCAGGAGTGATGACTCCAGGTCACACCACCACAGAGCCTGGTGAAGATCAAATGCTATGAGCTGGTCTCCACCTGGAAGGCCCTTTCCTCCACCTTCTTGCCTGGCCAACTCCTTTCATCCTTCAGGCCTCAGCTTAGACCTCACCACTTCCAGGAAGCCCTCCCTGCCTGCCCTCTCTTCCCATCCCCTCCAAGCCCAGGTGTGCTAGCCTTCCCTATGCTGCTGAAGTCCCCAGGGCTTCTCCTCCCGCTGATATCCCTGGATCAGAGCTATCAGCTCAGCTGCTCCTCCACCTGACCATGAGCTCGCGGAGGGCAGCGCTCCCCAAGCCTGGGATGGGGCCTGGGATGGAGAGGCTGTTTGTTAGCTGAATGAACGAATGAGAAAGAAGGTATGTCACGCTGAGTTTGAGGCGCCGTGGGCTGTCCAGGCGGCTGACAGAGTCCCAAGTGCTGGGGGAACCTGGGACAGACAGGAGAGCTGGAGCAGAGCTCTGATGTAGTCACTGTGTCCTCAGTGTCTCCTCCTCTGGGCTGGGCTTCCTGGGGACCCTGACAAGGGAGGCCTCTCCTGGATTACTTCCGGGTTGAAGAGGGAACTGAGTGCCCCCGGCAACAAGCAAGGCTGAGGCCCAAAGGAGGCAAGGCCAAGGAGGCAGGCCACACCGGGATCTTCAACTCTCTGAGGGGCCGACCCTGCGGGAGGGAGCAGAGGGGCTCTGTGGGGCCCCAGGGACAGAGCCCAGGTGGCGGCCGAAAGCTTCAGGGAGGCTGACCCTGACTCACCGTGCAGAACGGTCTTCTTGGAGCCAAGAAGCAAAGGTGGAACGGGCTGCTTTGGGAAGAGTGAGCTCCTGCCACTGGCTGGCCATTTAAGGACCCCAGGGGCCGGGGGGCGGGGGTGGGGAGCGGTGCAGGGAGGTGTGAACAGATGATCCCTCAGGTCCCTTCCAGCCTGGGAATGCGGGATGGCAGAAGGACAGCCTGGCCAACCCCAGACGCTGGGACCATCCCCCGGGGGGAGCTACCCTCATGCCCTGGGCGTCATCTCTGGTCAGGCCCCGGCCACTGGGGAGCTCTGGGCTTCAGAACACTTCAGCCCTCTCAAGGGCTCTGACTGACTCTTGGCAGAAGAGATGGGACAGCCAAAGGAGGTGATCTCGGGGACGTGAGCTGGCCAGAGCCTCAGGCATCCCTGTGCAGCTTCAAGCGAGGGAGGGCGTATGCAGCATTTCCCAAACTTTTCCTTTTTTCCTCGAAAAACCTGTGACATCTCACTTAATGAGCTATTCGCTGAACAGTTGGGGAGATGGTAGAACGGGAGCCCTTGGCCAGGAGACCCGGGGCGCAGCTCCAGCCCCACCTCTGCCAGAAACTCACTGTGGGAGCTTGGCCCGTTTCCTCTCTCTGGGCCTCAGTCTCCCCATTTGTGAAACCTGAGTGCCGTCCCTGCTGTGAAGCCCCAAGGAGCGACCTAGTGTGACAGCGCTCTAGAAAGCAAAAGCCCTACAGAGTGAGAAACAGCTGTTGGCTCCTTGTCCCTCCGCGCTGAGGAGGAAGACGATGGCACCTTACACCAAAGGTAAAGGTTTGCCGCTCCTCCCAGACAGAGGCCAGGCCTTCTCTCTGCAGACGCGGGGAGCCAGCCACGTCTTCTCCCCACACGGGCTGGTAGCGGCGGGAAACCCGACGGAGGAGGAGGGAGAGGCGGGAGGGAGGGAAAGCAGAGGGGTGGCCTGGGAGGAGGAGGCTGGGGAAGAGGCCGAGCTGTCAGAGAAATCCTGAGGCTCTCGGCCGAGGCTGGAGGGCAAGTGGTCTGGGGGCTGGAGTCCTCGTGGGAAACGGGCTGGAAGGGATGGGGCTGAGGACCGGCCTTGGCACTGGCGACAGCGCACACCCGGAGGCGACACTGCGGGCGGGCTCCAGCTGGCTCCTGCCTGGACGAAAGTCTTCAGATCAACCTGCAGGTGTCCACCTGCACCCCTCGAAGGGCCTCCGCGCCCGGCGAGGGGCAGTGCCGTCCCTTCCGGTGGCCCCAAGCCCTGGCCCGGGGCCGGCCTGGCGTGCGCCCTCACCTCCACCAGCGGGTAGGCGATCTCGTTGTAGATCTGCTCGGTGAAGTGGTCCATGGAGTAGGCGCCGTCGAAGGTGAACTGCTTGGGGGGCTCGTCGGCGGCGCCCGGGTTCTGGATGAAGCACTGGCCGCGCGCCGCGTCCACCGTCACCACGGGCTGGCAGCTCAGCTCCCGCTCCCGCTGGTTCATGGGGCGGCAGCGCACCACCACCTTCACCGCCTCCGAGGCCATGGCGCGCGGCGGGGACGCGCGACCCCGGCCGGGGGCCTCGGGAGGAGGGGGGAGCGGCGGGGAGTCGCAGGACCCGGGCCGGGGCCGCCGCCTGTCCCCGCGCGCGGGCTCGCCCGTCCCTGAGGCCCTGCCCGGGCGGGGAAGGAGGGATCCGCGCTGCAGGCGCCGCCGCAGGACCCGCGCCCCCAGGGCCCGGCCGCCGCCGCCGCACGCACGCGCCGCGGCGTTCGCGGTTGCTGGGCAACCCCCGTGGCGTCACAGCCGCGGTCCTGGGGACGCCGGCGCGGTGGTCGCTCCCGCCGCGGGGAGCATCCATCCCCTGGCTGGAGGCCGGCGCGCGCGGGCTGCCCGCGGGGAGGCTACGCGCTGGTTTCGCAGGAGCGTCTGCCTGCTCCGTGCCAGGCGCTCCACATCCTTTCTCTTCTCTAATCCTCACGCCAGTTCAGAGAGGTTAAGCAACTTGCCCGAGGTTGCCCAGCTAAGACAAGGAGGCCGGGCTTGACTCCACCTCGGAGATGGCTACAAGAGGATGGGCCTCACGAGGGGGTTAGAGACCTACCGAGAAAGGCAACAAGGACCTTGCTGCCCTTTATCCACACCCCTGTACTGCCTCAGGGGAAGGCTGCTCCAGAGCCTGTCACAGCCCCCAGGACAGAACACAGCTTCCTTCTAATGCCACCCCTCGTTTTTTCTAAGACTCAAGATTAACAAAACAAAACAAAACAAAAAAACTTCGAAAGCCAAAGGCTTTTGGCTGGAGAGGCTCCTGGCCTCTCTCTCCCGGCTCAGCACAAGCCCCGCCAGCCACAATAGCAGCTGTCACGCCTCTTCTGGGCCCCCTCTGCGCAGAAACTGACAGCTATGTTCCAGCACTATGACAGGCCCTGGGAGACACCCCAATCCCTGCCCTCCGGGAGCCCATAGTCTCTGGGGGGCAGACTGACCTTGGAAACAAATATCCCACAGACAAAAATCCAATCAATGAAACAGTAATTGCAAACTAAAGAACTAGTTCTATAGAACATAGACCAATGATACCACCCAGACCTGGGCGGTGGGGCGGGGGGGGGGGGGGTCCAGCGGTCAGGGCAGGCTTCCTGAGAGCGACAGGAACTGAGACAGTAGGCTTGAGGAGTCAACCAAGCAAAGGGAGGGGAGGAGGCCAAGGAGACCTGTCCAGGCTATGCAAAGGTCCTGTAGCCTGTTGCAGAAGCAGAAGGAAAGCCTGAGTTGCCAGAACATAAGGACTTGAGTTGTTTTCCCATAGGAAATACCCACTGAAGGTTTTCAGCAGGAGGGACAGGCTTTGAATAAATCTACCTATCTGATTCCTTCTGGACCTCCTGAGCCCCTGAGGACAGGACCTCCGTCTGGTTCGCCATGGGCACCAGGAATGTTTGGCAAACAAAAACAAAGCAGGCCAGCTGGACCAGGACCTCCCTTTCAGAGACAAAGTCTGCCCAGACAATCGGAAGACACACATTTTATTTGTTTCAAGTACACGCAGTAAGGAGAGCTGCGCTCCCCGGGTGGTGCTGGTTGGAACAAAGAGGAAGCGGTGATCTGTAATTAAGACACTGAGGCGTTTGCACACATGGGTCAAAAACCTCGTCCTATTTGTACCACGTGATCAGTAAGTGCTGTGTGAAGGAATGTTAAAGTGCTTTGGGAACATTCCTGACGCCCCATCCACATGGGTCATTTGTGCAACAAAACACATCCCTCATACGGTGAGCTCCGGCCTCCGCCTGGGCCGGTTCCCAGGGCGTCTCCAGACCTGTGCTCCCGGCCCCACATCAACAAACCCCTCTCCTGGCGGCCTCCCCCAGGGACCAGGGCTGTGCCCAGGGAGGAGACGGGTTTTAGTAGAAATGGCCATAAAATGAGTCCTGGCTCCCACTCACATTCAGTATAAAATCAGGGCTGAGGGTCCAGGGAAAAGACCCCCAGGGGACTGCTTCCTCCTACCCCTGAGACGAGAGTGACAAGGTCCCTAGCCAAGACCACTTCCTGGGCAGGGGGCCCCAGCTCCCCAGGATCCACCTTCTTTCTCTTCTGTGGGGCTGCCCTCTTCCTTCCAGGAGCCAGAAGTCTGACTTTCAAGGCGCAGAACAGGCACAGCCCACTCACGGATAGGGAGGGGCAGCCCCAGATGCGCCAGGAGGCCTGAGCCTCAGGAAGAGGAGTCCGTTCAGTGAACTTGCTCCCCAGCTCTCGTCGGTAGATTCAAGTCTGCCTGTCAACTTTACCTATAAAGGGGGACGCCTGATCTCTCGGTCACTGCAGGGCCACTGCATTAGATGAGAATTGTCTTCCCAGACCCCCAGGCCCCCCACTGCCCACTGAAGTCAAGCCCCTTCTGTCAGGGCCTCCATCAGTTCTGTCTTTGGAAGGTTTGCTCTGACGCCATCCGCAATGGGGCTGGCCTAGTGAAGTGGCCCCTGACAGCCATGGCCAGTGCCATATTAAGGAAAATGCCACCGCCGGGGGGCTTCCCAGACAGCCACTAAACGCAGACTGGCCTGCAGGACGAGGGGGCAGGGCCTCCCTGCAGCTCACTGCTGGCCCCTCCCATTCAAACGGGGAAGGAAAGGAGCCTTGGTGCGTATGCATCCTGGTGGGTCTCAGGGGCGTGGGGACGGGGATGGCACCAGGACATGCGCTCCGAGCAAGCAGGGATCACAACCCTGTGGTTCTGAGTGGAGACAAACCAGCCTTCCCAAGCAACGCATGAGATTCTGCGCTCTGTCTGCTGCTCCACGTCCACCTGCACACAGTGGCCACCTGCACGTGGGCTTTGGGTGGCATGGCTCTCCGTCCACCCTGCCCTTTCTGCGGCCTCCGAACCCTGGTCCCTCAGAACTCACAGGAAGACTCCTTTACCCCCAAAAGACACGAGAAAGGCTGGGCTCTGTCTGTCTGCCCGGATGTGGCCACAAGCCCCGCTGTGTCATCTCTGCTTGCTCCTGGGGAGAGGGCGGCTCCCCCCAGGCCTCTGCCCAAAGTGAGCACTTGCTCCGGGCTCCCCAAACACCTCTCCCAAACGAGTCGGGAGCTCTCTGAGGACTCCTAGGCAGGGCCCCAGGCCTGGCCCCGGCTGCACCTCCATCGTGAACGTACCTGCTGGCCCACCTCAGAGAGCTCCCCTCCTAGGAGCCAAGTGAAGCCCAGAGATGACAAGCATCCAGAGTCACCCAGCAAGTTCACAGAAGCCTGGAGCTCCAGCTGCCCCTCCAGCAACCCCAACGGGTCCCAGGCCCTGCGAGAAGCCATTGGCAATCCCCAATCTCAGGGCTCCCCCCCACGGGTGGTGTAGTGATGGAAGACTGGTCCAAGGGGCAGAGTGACTGGATGGAACAGGTGACCAGCGGGGTGGAAGGACAGAGTGGCCTGCTGAGGCCCGGCAGCCAGGGCGAGGCAGGGCCATTGGCGTGGGGCCCAGCCTCTTAGCCCAGGCCCTGCAGTTCTGCCTCCGACTTGGCATGGCCCAGGGGCCGGAGTGTCCGGGGAGGCCTGCCCTCGGGCCCGCAGTCCTGCTCCTCGTAGCTGGGGTTCAGGCGGCCCATGTCCAGGGCACAGAAGAGGCTGCGCTCGGTGCCCGCGTGGTGCTCCACCAAGGCCTCCAGGCTGGGGAACTCCGCCGGCAGGTGCTGGGGGGGAAGGGCCTTCAGCTCCCGCGTCCCCTTCCCCACGGCGCACCGGGGTACCACCACCCCGGCCCACGGGTCCAGCCCCACCTTGGAGAGGAGGGAATCTGAGCTGAGAGGTCCCCATCCTGCTCACAGCACGGTCACCCACCATCTCCTCCCTTCTCCCCTCCCAGCGGGGTCAGGACTGAGACGCTCGGCAGCCAAGGAAGGGCGCACATGTAAGAAGCCCTGGCCGCCCTCCCTGGACACCTGCCATCGGGCCGCCACTCCACACCTGAGACTCAGGGGCTGTACGAGCTGGGGCAAGCCCTACCCTCTCTGACTCAGTTTCCTCCTCTGCTAAAGGATGCGTTAGGGTGTGGGAAAGGCAGACTTTTAAAAGCCGGGATTCCTACAGAAACGTGAGGCATGACCCCAGCCCCAGACTCTACTAGACACACCCCTCGGAAAGCGCCCTGAGGCGAGCGGCCCTAGGGCGGAGCCCGCGGGTAGAGGTGTGGCCGGGGGGCGGGGAGGCGGGGCGGCAGGGCCAAGGACAAGGAGCTGGATGGAGAGTCAAATGAAGGGCGGGGCCGGAGCCGACGGGGACGGGGAGGCGGGCTCGGGAGCGCGCGGTGAGAAGGGGCGCGGCAGGGCGCCGGCTGCCCGCACCCACCTCCACGCAGAAGCGGCCCACGTGGTTCCGGAAGACCTGGTGGGGCACCACGCCGCACTGCGTCCGCACCGACAGGCACCACTGGCCGCTGGCGCCCGGATCGGGCCACAGCAGGAAGGCCCCCAGCACGTCTCTCCGCAGCAGGGCGAGGGCACTGGGCCTGGGAGCGGAGGGGAGGGGATGAAGGCAGGAGCCCTGGGCGCACGCAGCCTCCCGTCTCCCCTGGGCAAGGGCACACAGCCCACAGCACGGGAAACAGGCTCCTGTCCGGAGACGCCTTGGACGAGGAAAGCTCTGAGACTTCCTTTCTGAAAGGTTTCTAAGGGTCCTTAATTGTTCACAAGACCAAGACCCAATCAGGAGAGAGCTTGAAAGAGCTGACATCTAGCCAGGCGTCCCCTGCGACAGGCCAGGTGCGCAGGGATCTACCTGGATTACAGGTTTGAACCTCTGTAGAAAACTGAGGCCAGGGCAGTGAAGTCCCTGGCCTGGGGTCGCCGAGGTCAGGAGCACTGCGCCCTTGTGCCCGTGTCAGGGCCCTGGGGGAGCCCACGGCCTATTTCTCTGTCCACCCCAAGCGGCTGGGCACCCGCCAGGCCCCTCCTACCTGGAGATGCCAGCAAAGGCCCAGATGTTCTCCGTCAGGCTGCCATCGCTCTCCACCAGGCACGAGGGGCCACCAGGACCCCGGGGCCACGCCTCCCATGCGGCAGGAACTGTGGAGACCACCGATGACCCCTCCACTATGGAGGGGTCAGAGAGAGGCCAGCCCCCTGCTCAGCCCGCCTCACCCCCACAGGCCCCATCACCCCATGCTTGTCTCTTCACCAAGCCACCACCCCCAGCCCGGGAGGCACACATCCAGCCCCTCAAAATACACCTCCACACACAGGCACACCCCATGCACACCCACCGCCCAGTTAAGGCACATGGCACCTGTGCCAGCCCCAGGCACACAGCCCTGGATGCACATCCACACACAGGCATCTGCTGGGAGACACAGGCACAGCCGTGCAGAAAGGGACGCCAGGCCACCCTGTCTGACTCACACAGGTGCAGACAGACACTCACGCAGGCATGCATGGGGCAGGGCATCCGGGTACTCACAGGCCTCCCGCGCCGACAGCTGCAGCTGGCTCTCATAGGTGCAGCCGCGGTAGGCCCCGGAGCGCAGCACTTTGCTGCGAATGGCCTTCTTGCGCACCAGCGTCGGGGAGCAGTAGGGGTTCCCCAGGCGGGTGTGGCGGGCACCCCCACGCCCTTCCAACTCTGCCAGCTCCTTCTAGGGCACCAAGAGGGGCCCACAGGGCAGGCAGACTCAGGCTCAGCCGGGTCAGGTCAGGCAGCGCCCCCTCCCCTAAAATCCAGCACCCCCCACAGGACCCCCAAACCCTCACCCAGTTCCCTTGTTCACTGCCCGCTCCCTGGCTGGGGGGCTGCGTACCCCACTGCCCACGGGCCCCTCTGCTGGCAGCCGCCGGAAGGAGACCAGTGCATGAACATTCTGTGACAGCTGATCACGGCCGAAGGGTTCCCGCACAAGGCCAGGGGAGCCCCCAGGGCTGGACAGTGGCTTCAGGGGCGCGTCCCCTGAAGGCCCCAGGCAGGGCTCAGGCTGCGCCCGATCCTCAGGGTGCTGCAAGAGGTAAGCGAGCTGGAAGGAGCGGCAGAGCAGCAGGTGCAGGATCTGGACCTGGGGAGGGGGCGGGCTGGGCTCAGTCAGGCGAATCTTCCTGGGGAACCTTCAGGCATCAACCGACTCATGGTCGGTGCATGCAGCCCCCCAGCTTGGGGTGCTCTTCCCCATTCTGGCCAGGAAAACGCCGACTTATCCCTCAAAAGCTCACCACCATGCAGCCTCCCATACCAGCTTCCTTTATTCATTTAACAAATACTGAGCGTCTCCTTTATTCCAGGACCACGCTTGGAGCTGGGAATCCACGGGCTAAATGCTCTCCCACCCCTCGGTTTACCGCCCGCTCCCTGCGCACTGGGCAGTGCCCTCTCAGAGGAGTGGCTAAGAGCCCAGGCCCTGGACGCAGAGAACCGGGGATCCAATCCTGGCTCTGTCAGTTAGGAGCTGCCATGTGACCCTGGGTAGAGCCTGGCACCTCTGTGCCTCAGTTTCCTCATCCTCAGCCCCCTGTGCTCCTTCAGTGAAATGGAGCACAGAAAACCCCCAGCAGAGGCCCAGCACATTCCACCCGCCACACACATCATCCAGCCCCAATACGCTGGGACCGTGAATTCCAGGAGATCCAGGGCCACATCTCAGCCACCTGTCACTCCAGCAGCCAGCACAGGGCTCAATGTACCGGGGTGACGGCAAATGCTTGCTGGACGGAATGAAACCCAGCCTCTGCTTGCCAGATTGGCTGCCAACGCTCCGTTGTTCACAGCGTCATCCTGGCTTTGACTTCCAGGATCTACCTGCCTACCCGCTTGCCCCACAGGACCAAGCACCAGAACAGTTCGAGACCTGGAGCCAGCCTCTGCTCTCAAAGAACGCCAGTGATCGTAATTAGGGACAGACCGATGATAGAGTGTGGTTTACGTCACAGGACCGCAGAAGGAGGGGGGGTCTAAAAGACTCAAGGGGGGCCTCACAGACACGCAGGCTGAGCCTTGAAGGGCAAGCTGGGATCTGTCAAGATGAGAAAAGGAAGGGGATTCCAGGTAGAACAGTGTGAGCAGAGGCCTGGCAGGATGAGCCTCCAATTTCTAAACGCATGGCCTGGTCCCTACCTTCCAGCCCTGGGGAATGCTGAGCCCACTGATTTGCTGTGGTGGAGTGCTCAGTGGGCAGAGCCACAGAAGGAGCCCGTGTGGTGAGGGGTGCATGGTTGGAGGCGGCTCGGGCCGATGTGGCTGAGCCCTCCCAGGCCTCGGGCCCTGGAACCCACGCTGATGCACAGCACACCCCCCACTCCAGCCAACGTGGCAGTCCCCCTGCCCTGGGTCCCAGATACCTCTCCAGGCTGGCTGCCCACAAAGAGGTGGCAGAAGAGCTTGCTGGCCGGGCTCCGGGGGTTTCGGGCCATGAAGGCAAACTGGCAGTCAGCTGGGCACCAGGTGGAGTAGAGTATGCGCCTCAGGGCGTGCGCCATCAGGAGCACCTGGGCAGGCAGCGGGCAGGATGGCCTCCATCAGACCCGCCACCTGGCCTGCAGCTGCCACCCCAGTCCGTGCCAGCCCTGCGGGCCCCACACACCTGCTGGCAGGCCTCCTGGGTCTGCTCTCCAGCCTGCGTGCCCAGCTTAGGGCCCACCCAGCTCCTGGGGTGAAGAACTCTTCCCTCCTTCCAGGTCTGCCCAAACCCCACTTCAAATCAGAACCCCCCTTCTCCCCGAAGCCTCGGGGCTTGGATCCCTTGCTCCCCGCCGCTGCCGAGCTGCTGGTTGGGATGGTCACGCCATGTTATGGCACTAGGGGCAGCGCATTCACGGCCTGCTCAGTCGCAGGGAAAGGGGCAGCAGCAGGCCCTGGGGGGCACGCCTGGTCTCTGGAGTCAGATGACCCAGGTTCGAGTCCCGGCTCTGCCACTCACTCTCGGGTGGCTTGGGCAGGTGAGCACAGCCCTCTGAGCCCTCTCATGATAAATGTCAAGTGGGGACCGAACCCCTCTGATAGGGCTGTTGGTGGGGCTTCGTGAGCCTCATGCAAGGGGCACAGGACCCGACCCCGGAGCCCCTGTGATGCACAGCTCTGGGACACCTTCGCGCCACGGCCCAGAGTTGTGCAGTGTGAGTTGTACACAGTACAGAGTACAGAGTCGTACAGTTAGTGGTCAACAAACACTGACTTGCCCCAGGAGGAGGAGGAGGGGCATCCAAGCGGGGGCTCCCAACCGGCCCCCAGCCTGCGTCTGGCCCCCATTCCACAGTCATAAGGGGCTGGCCACAGCCCTCAGGCCACCGCTGCGCAGGCCGACAAAGAGGCTGGGACCTGCAAGACCTCACGGGGCTGGATGGTCCTGAGCTTGCCCTGGGGGGAGCCCTTGGAGAGAGAATGCCCAAAGGTCCAGAGCGGGCTGGGAAGCCGGGGTGGCTCAAGGGGCAGCGCAGGGCCCGGGGAGAGGCGAGTGCATCCAGAAGGAGCAGGACACCTGTCCCATCCAGGCCTCGCCGGCACCCACACAGGCTCCTACCTCACCCTCCCCGCTGTAGATCTTGAGGCCCTGAAGGCTGAATTTCAGGATGACGGCCCGGCGGCGGGGACAGTCCTGGGAGGGAGAGAGTTGGTGGGCGCAGGCATTACCTCCCGGGCCCTGCCCAGCCTCAGTACCAGTCACCACAGGCTGGTCAGCTAAGCCCACCCTGCCTGCCAGGACAGTGGACCCCCAGGAGCCGGGGAAGTGGGGATGGCAGACCACCTCCCAGCCAGAGCCATAGCTGGCCATCCCCCGCATCTCACACCTGTGGCTTCTACTTGCGGGCACAGGTCACGACTGCCCAAGGGAAGGGGTCCCTGGGCATAAGGGACATGGTTCCAGCAACCTAGGTGTGGTCCTGACTGGGCCCACCTCTCAGAACAGCTTTGGTCCTGCCCCTCCCTGGGCCTCACTTGCTCCATCTCTATGACTGGGGGTGGGATGGATCAGATGGTCTCAGGGGCCATTCCCAGCCCGACATTGCAAGCAAGGCTGCGATCCCCACCAGGGAAGTCCCCTCCCAGCTCCCCAGCCCCGCTACCTTCAGTGCCCAGAGCTGCTGTTGCACCAGCCACACGCTCTCCTGGGTGTCCAGGTCGTCCACGGGGAAGGACCCCACATACTGCTTGGGGGTGGGGTGGGGGAGGGAGGGTGGCAGGGGAGTCAGGCCCTTGGCTCCTGATCTCCGGCCTCCAAATTCCCCCTCAAACACACACTCTGCTCTGTCAGGTCAGTGTGGACAGTGACAGAGCACTGGACTCGAAGTCCAGGCTCTGCTACTTTCCCAGGAGGTGACCTTGGTCAAGCCACTCAGCCCCTCTGAGGCCCCATCTCCTCGGCTGTGCACACATACACATTCCAGAGGCTGGGGCAGGGAGGGAAGACAGGAAATAGATCCTTGACACACAGCTCCTCCCCACCCCCAGGGCTGCCACTGTCACCACCCACCAGAGCACATCCCACGAGGCAGCCCCACCCACCTGTGCAAACCTGGTGATGCACCTGGGCCGGTGAGGGGCAGGGCCACAGTCGGAGGCCCTCCGGCCCCCTGCCCCAGCCTTCTGCATGGCCCCCAGGGTGCTCAGCTTCAAGTTCCCCAGTGGGGGAGAAGGCTGCAAAGGGGAGGGGGCAAAGTGGGTTCCAGGCAGTGGAGCCACAGTGCTCCCCATCAGAGGCCGGTGCGCCCCCTCATCCGACAAATTCTTACTGAGCGCTTGCTGTGTGCCAGGCAATGTCCTGGGCACTGGGGACACGGGGACACCCAGCCCTGAATAAAATGACAAACGCCCTGCCTACGCTCACGGAGCCAACATTCTTGTCGGGGAGAAAGACACTACACTAAATGATAAGCTATGGAATATGCTGGATGGTGATAAAGCAGAGACGAGGATGTGGAACGCGGGGTTAGGGGGGTGACAGCAGCCAGGAGGGCGTCACTGAGGACTGAGGTCTGGGGAGAGGACTGAAGGAGGTGGTGTGGCAGTCCACGCCCTGGGTCCTCTGTGCTCTGGGCCTGCCCTGGGCTGGAAGTCGAGGGTATGGACACGTGTCCAGCTTACACAAAGCGCCAGGGGGTGGGGGGCAGCCTGGGAAGGTACTGCCCAAGAGGAAGGGTGTGACAGCAACAAGAACAGAGTCTGCAAAGGCACAGAGGAGAAAAAGCAGCCAGAGCAGCAGGCTGGAGCCAGGCTGAGATCAGCCTTAAATGTCACACCAGGGAATTGAGGCTCTGCCTGTGGGCAGTGGGGAGCCATCGCAGGTTCCAGGGCAGGAGCTCTCTAGTCCCGTGGCGGGGGGGGGGGGGGGGTCGGCCCATGAACTGGATGGCTAGAACTGTTTCGCAGGCCCCTGGCTCATTCGGCTCAGCCTGGCTTCCGCCCCTGCCCGAAGCCCCCAGCTGCAACCAGACGCTCACTGATGCTGAGTCAGGAGGGAGGGAGGGTGGACAACTGCCTGGGGGCTGAGGAGTCCTGTGCCCCCACCCAGCCCAGGTTCTGGTCTTTCCCGGGCCCGTCTCCCAGTTCCACTGGTGGAGGAGAGGAGGAAGCTCCCTCACAGACTGTCCTCAAGGGCAGGGAGAGCCCTTCCTCCCAGAGCTCCGGACCACAGCTGGTGCTCAGTGGATGTGGAGTGGATGCATCACAAAGAGGACTGGCTGAATGCCTCTGCCCAAGTCCCCAAGGACGCAGATCCCTCAGTCTTCCCTGGGGCCAACTTAGACCCCCACCCCCGTCCCGCATCCTGGCGGGTTCTGTCTCCCCTGGCTACTTGTAATCATTGCACTTGGGATCAGAGAGATCTGGGTCCAAATCCTGTGTGACTTTGGGCGAGCCACTTCACTTCTCTGAGCCTCCACTTCCTGATCCCAAACCTGGGATAATGTGAGGATTTGGTGAGAACGGAATGGAGGAGCAGCACGATGTCAGCTAGGCTCCCAGCTGATGCTCAACAAATACGGTCTCACGGGGCAGAGGGGACCCCAAAGCCTGCTGTTCAGGAGGGAGCTGGGGGGACGGCGAGGTCGGGACACTTTCAGTGCCCTCCTTGCACCAGGCCACGCCTGAGAGGAGAGCGCCCAGTCCAGCAGGGCAGGAGGGGAGGCCTGGGGGCCATGATTCCTGCCAGAAGGCTGGTATCAGACAGGTTGCTAGGCAGGAAATGGGTGCGTTCCGGGGGTGCTCCCCCCAGCTTTAGGAGCCCTTGGAGAAGGACGGTTTATGTGCTTTGGAACTGACACTCTCTGTGCAAAGAGCCCCGGACTGGCCCCTGCCTCTGGCTGCCCACGACCTTCAGCCCAGGCTCCGGCCGGGGGAAGTCGCCAGCAGCAATCTACCGCTCAGCACGGGAAGAGCCTGAAAATAAAGGCTGCCCCGTCCCCTGGCGCCCTCCTGGCTCCTCCCTCCTGCACCCTCTGCCCTCCTGCTTTTCTGGGCTCTCACACCCCTCTGCTCCTCGGTCCTGATCACTCTTCACATCGTGTCCATCACCTATCATTCATTTTATGTTTAAATAAAGCAAGGTTAGATGTGCAACTGGCACAAAAGCCACGTGGCCCCGGCTCCAGGTATGCAGCTGGGCTTCCAGGGAATCGGCCTTTGCTTCACACTCACATCACAGGCTGCGCTGCCCGGTACTCGCAGGCGGTGGGGAACAGAGGATGCAAAGACCAAAAACTAAACGGGCAGGCGAGAGGGAGAGGGGGAAAGAATAGAGGATGAAAAGGCAGCAAGAGAAGTGGGAACCAAGGGCGGTGAGGAGAAGACAAAAGGAGAGCGAGAGGGAGGATGGGAGGAGGGCGAGAGAGGGAGCACATTTCGCATCTGGCCTGTGCTGCTGACACAGCCCCTCAGACACCCAGAGTGTGGGATGCGAAGGAGCCACGTGGGTCATCACACATGCACACACTCGCTCGCACACTCGCCCGGACGGCCGTGCCGAGGGCTCGACAGCCTCCTCCCTCCGGACTCAGAGCTGCAGCTCTCCAGGAGGACACCCCAGTGTCTCGGCTGTGGGGTGGGGAGGCCAGGACACAGGCCCTCTAGTGGCCCCCTCACCCACCCTCACCTGATCCTTCCCCATGCCCGGCAAAGGAGAAGTTTCCTCCTTCCCGTACCTCCCTCCCAAGTCGGAGGGGGGCCTCAAGTTGGGGGCTGCCCAGGGGCGCAGGGAGGGCACCAGGCTCACTCTCACCCCGGCAACAGACCTGCTGACCCGTTCCAGGCACAAATGTCCATTTCTCTCTTTGGACCAGACCTGCTTTTCCAAGGTTTTGCACAGGAGCCTGGCTGCGCCAGCACCTTCCTAAGTGGACACATCTGGATGAGGCTGGGGCTCTTCTCTTGCTCCTCTGAGGTTTTCCAGGTGGCCCTCCTTAGAGACAGGGGACTGGATGGGTTGACTCGCCTTGAGGGTCAAGGACGGGCTCTTGGCTGCACAGCACCCTAGCTGGGTTGTGTCATAAGGAGGGCCCACATTCACAGCATCGTGGGAGACCACTCAGCCTGGGCTTTGCAAAGGGTGACTGGGGGGCTGAAGTCACTTGCCCAAGGTCACAGAGCACAAGGGGGTAGCTGGGAAGCAAAGCTGGGTCTCTTCCCCTAGGCCACGGCAGGGCCCTTCTGCTCAGACCCCGCTCTCCCAAGTCAGCAGGGCGTCCACCTTTGAGGTTTGGTGGGTCCCAGCCTATCCAGCCGCCCAGAACACCCCAGCTGCCAGGGGCTGATCTGATCAGCAAAACAGCCGCTTTCTCTCTCTGACTGCCTCCCGGCCAGGTGGCCCGGGGCTTCCAGAGCCACTCTGCTCACTTGCCTCACCCCCACTGCCTTTGGCTCAGCCACACACAAGAGTCCCCTGCCCCAACCTACCACCTGGTGCTCCCCCCTCCCACCTGCTCGGTGCCACAGGGTGGGAGGAGACCGAACCCTGCAGCCTGGGGTTCAGACTGTGGATTGTGGGGTCGGACTGTGGGGTGCAGGCAAGGTTGGCTGATGCGACCTGGCCAAGTCACCTAACCTCACAGGCTCCATTTCCTCAGCTGTAAAGTGGGGTAATATCAGCAGCTCCCTCCGGGCTGTGCCTCTATCCGTTCCTTCTGAGAATATTTGCGGGCGCCGACTACGTGCCAGGTGAAGAAAACACAGTCCCTGCCCTCACCGAGTGCCCAGGCTGGGCTGGGGGGACGGTACGGGAAGCCAACAGCATTTCAGGGGGCTTAAGTGATCTGGAGGAAAGTACAGCAGGGTGAGGAGGGTATGAGATGTATGTGTATGTGTGTGCGTGCTGGGGGATGCTATCCAGCACAGGGTGGTCGAGGACGGCCTCTCCAAACACACGACACTGAGCGGAAAGCACCGTTTGCAGGATGAAGTGTCGCCGAACCCGCGGACCAGGCCGGCGCCCGGGCGGCACGCAGCGCTCCACCGCGTGGGTCATTAGTCCCGCTATTACTGGAGCCTGGGGAGCGTCCAGGCTTTCAGTGACAGCCCCCGGCCCGGGGCAGAGAACCTCCCCGGACCCACCGAGGGGCGAGCGAGGAAGGACGCTGGCGGAGGGGCGGTGGAGGTGATGGCAGAGGTGACAGACGGTGATGGCGAAGGTGATGGACAGCGACGGAGCGAGCGGACGGAGGTGCTCCTCCCCACCAGATCCCCTCCCTCCTCTCCGCGCCTGGGGACCGAGCCCCGCTCCCGCCGACCCCCCAGCCCCAGCCCCGGCCCGGCTCCCCAGCGCTCACTCACCGCGCCAGCCGCGTCTCGAGTGGCGTCGCTGCAGCTCGGCTCGGCGATCCCCGCGCAGCCCCGCGCGTCTCCGCCCCCGGCCGGCCCGGCGCCCCCCCCCCCCCCCCCCCGCGCCCCCGCGCCCCCCGCCCCGCTCGCCCCCCACGTGGCCGCGGGAACCCGCGCCCGCGGTCCCCTGGCTGCGGTGCCCGCCTTCGCCCACCAATCGACGCCCCCGGAGCGGCTCCGCTCGGCCGCACCGCCCAATCAGCGGCCGCGAGGGGCTCTGGCTCCGCCTCCGCCGGCTCGAGCCCCGGCGCTCCGCCTTAGAGAGCGAAGGGGCCATCCTCGCCGCCTAGGAAGCATCTTCCCGGGCTGGGGGTGCTGGGTGCCCGGGCCTCGCTGCCAGTTCCCTCCTCCTGGAGAGTCCCTCCCCTCCCGCCCCCTGGCCTGGCTCCAGCAGCTCCTCCTCAGAGAAGCCTTCCCTGACCACCAGTGACTCCTCCACCCCCTGCAGATCCCTCGCGACTCTTGCTGGTCATCCCACTCCTCTTTGTAGAGTGCAGGCGGCACTGATCAGGAGAAGCCTCCGTCCCCGGTGCGCGGGACAGAGCGCGGCTCGTAGGAGGCATTCCGTGGTGGTTGTCTTGACGAGTGAATGAATGCGCTCAGGACCTGGCCTCTGGGGGAAGCGGGTCAGTCTCACCCTTCCTTCCGTCATCCTCAGAGGGCTGGGCGTGGGGGTGTCGCGCATCCCCGTCTTCATCCTCCTCCCTCCGGGCCCTTCTCGTAGGAGGATTAACTGAGCCTGCGTAGCTCAGGGCCCGCTCTGAGAAGTCTTGGCATGAACGTTATCATTGCGCAGGAGCCTTGACCCTGTCCTTCGGGGAAATCCACTTAGATGGGGGGAAACTGGGGAGCGAAACCAGCCACAGCTCTCAGCTGGAGGGCACTTTTGTTCCTATCAGGCCAACACCTGCAGGTGCCAAAAAATATATCGCAAGCACGATTCAGCCCAACCTTTAGAGTGTACTAAACCTGAAATCTGCAGAGAGGAAACACCAGAGCCCGCCTATGTGCTACCCCTCAGACAGGCTAGGACACGGGGCTCAGGTCCTGGAGGGAGACAAGGGCTGCACCCCAGGAGGGAACACCCTGACTGGGTCTGGGGGCCTCAGGGCCCCAGGAGGGGGCAGGTGTGAGCCATGCAGGCCCACTGGGCATTCGTTCCCTTTGTCTCCCGAGAGCATCTGGAAGGCCTTCCAGAGGCAGCATGAGGAGTAAAGGGTGGCCATTTGGGCACTTCCTCTTACCACATGTGGGGCCTTGGACAAACACCTTAATCCCTTTAATCCTCCAGTGCCTCATCTGTGTTACTAACACCTGACTCACAGGGATGTCAAGATTCCAATGAGCCAGTGTGGACTAAGTACTTGGCACAGTACCTGACCCATAGGAAGTGCAGTGCTCAGTAAATATTAGCTGGAGTTAAACTTTGCTTTTCTTCTTGAGTTTCTTTCCTGTATGATTGAACGGCAAGTGTTGATTGGGTTCCACGTGCCAAGTGCTCCGGGAAACACTTCACTGAGGCCATGTGACAGCCTGAGTCCAGTGATGAGGATGGAGACAGTTTACAAGTTGGTCCTGCTTTCCAAAAATCCCAATTTATGAAACTCAGAGTACACAAAGGATAAAGGGTTAATTCTTGCTAGCCTTCCAAAAAAGTGTGTACATTTTTTTCTTCTTTTTAAAGACTGGCACCTGAGCTAACAACTGTTGCCAATCTTTTTTTTTTTTCCTGCATTTTCTCCCCCAAACCCCCCCAGTACATAGTTGTATATTTTTTAGTTGTGGGTCCTTCTAGTTGTGGCATGTGGGACACTGCCTCACCATGGCCTGATAAGCGGTGCCATGTCCGCGCCCAGGATCCGAACTGGCGAAACCCTGGGCCACTGCAGCGCAGTGCGCGAACTTAACCACTCGCCACGGGGCCGGCCCCAGCATGTACATTTTAAATAGAGGACTTGCCAGTTACTAGATTCACAGTCCCCACTTTGAGACTACTCAGAGGAAACAACACAAGCCACAACTGTGTTAACTACTGGCTCTAACAAGCTTCTGACGCAATTAATTCTGATGCGTACCATTTTTAAAATAGTGACAGGAATTTGTTTCAGCTCAAAATGAAAATAGACCAAGGAGTTAAATTCGGATGGTGAAATAGTTAAAACCAAGGGGAGAATTCTGCCCTCTAAATCTTTCTCAGAAGGGGACAGAGGGTCAAGATCTGAGTGGCCGGCACTGCGCTAGGTCCTGGGGCTGGAGATTACAACAAAACACACGAGCCACCACAAAACCAGATCCAGAAAGAGAAATGTGTGAAAGATGTATGTGACAGTGACTCCTGACTCCACAAACACTAAGGATCCCGTTATTGGTCTTCAGCCCCACTCAGGAATACAATGTTTCAAAACCAAATGCATTTACACATTTGAAGTTCACTCCTTCATTTTTATTCATGCATTAAAGTAATTAACTGCCTATCTGAGCTATTCGTCAGGTTACCAAATTTGTTGATCTAATTCAACTCAAAGCACAGGCGCTCCAAGCCTCTACCACGCACGTAGACTGCCTAATGGTACATTAGACCTCCAAGCTCAGAGGTTCGCACCAAAGGGAAGAAACTCCAGTGGGTGTCAGCCACGTCCTGGGCAAGCCAACCCAGCTCCACTCAGGACCGCGGCATAAAACAGCCATCACTGCATCCTTCCCTGCCTCAGGTATCTCATCCCACCCTCATGACGACACATCCCAGGGTAGGACTTCAACCATGGGATTATTGACTCACTTTTTCAGGAAGCCCACAGAAGTTACCTATAGTAAGCAGGGGAAGGAATGACAAAAAAGGCAAACTCGGGTGGTGGGGTCATGATTCCTGAACACGCATGGTATTTCCTGATGAGTCAATGACAATTACTAAACTACACAAGTGTGAGCTTGCTATCACACACTCTCCTTTTCTTTATAATCCCAGAATCTGGTCCTGGAGTTGCCAGCTGACGAATGTGAGTGGGAAGTAACAGCGCATCATTTCAAAGCTGATCTCCAACAATAGGACTGAACACTGGAGCCAAGATGGTGAGCTTGGAATAGGCTCAGCACAGCAGCTCAAACGCGTCTGCTCTGTATAGCACATGCTTCCATGTTTCCTCAGTAGCATCTTCCCACGTTGATACTTTCCGCCTTAAGCACCATTCTTCTGTCCTCTCAGGTATGTCCGCACGGGTGTCCTTGCAACTTATCCCCAATATTGCACCCCCCAAAATGTGGCCTAGAACAGAAATTTTGATAAAATTCTAAGACGTGTTCTAGGCTGAATTCTGCCCCCGTCTCCATTAACAGTTGAAGTCCTAACCCCTAGCGCCCCAGAACGTGACGGCGTCTGGAGACAGGGTCTGTGAAGAGAGAATTAAATTCAAAGGCAGTCATCAGGGTGGGTGCTAATCCAGTAAGACTGATGGCCTTATAAGAAAGGAACTTTGGACACAGACACGTGGAGGGAGGGGATGTGAAGACACAGGGAGACCGCCATCCACTGTGGCTGTCCTTTTCTCTGTAACCCTACTCCCCATCCACAGCCAGCTAAGGTGCCAGGTTTGGCCAGGTGGCAGCTGATGGCAGCCTAGGTCTCTGGTGACCCCCACTTAGAAGGTACTCACATTCCTTGCCCACCTGACTTCTCTTTTCTCCTGCTCCTTGCATGGCAAACTCAAAGCTGTATACGTTTTTTCTTGCTCATCTTTTAACCGGTACAACCCTCTTGTAACTTGTTGCTGGACGTTTTGCTGCCTCAGCTATCTGTGTACAAAACCACAAAGGAAGGCGTGGAGGAAAGGTGATTGTCCCCAAGTCTACCAGGCCTGGGTTCATGGCTAATGTTACCACTTACTGCATGTTCAATTTGGGGAAAATTAACTAAATTTACTTACTTCTGAAAATTGGGGATAATTTCACAGATCTCTGAGAATATATTTGTGAGGGTTTCAGAGTGCGATTAAAGTGCTTAGCAATAGGAAACTACGATGAATGGCAGTTTAAACCACAAAACTGAACTCCTGTGAAACTGGATATTCTGGCTCAAAAAAAAAAAAAAATCAGTCTTTCCTAAAATTCTAAAATGACTTAGTAACCTTAGTGTAGTGCACATGGTTCAATCTTTCTTTGATGCCTGATAATCTCATTGCCTCTGGGTAGTTAGTCTAAAAAAAAAAAAAATTATGGATTTAAACCGTCTTATCTTACAGATGAGGAAATCAAGGCTCAGGGAGACTAAGTGGCTTGGCCAAGGTCACACAGCTGGTGAGTGACACAGTCCCCAAGGACCACTATGCAGGACCACAGCTACAGATGTCAGGACACTGGGCTGAGTGATGTACTCTAGCCAGGAGTCAGTCTCAAGTTGGAATTGATGAAAATTTCATTCTACTGCACCAGCAAATTTAAGTTACACAAAGAAGTAATATAAAGGATTTCAGTTTGACATGAGAAGAATTTCATCAGAGCAGAACTTCTCCAACAGTAAAACGGATGAGCAAGGCTGCTGTGTTAACTCTCGGGTTTCAGGAAAAAGCCTATCTGCTGGTATTGGGCAAGCAAAGCAGGGGAGCAGACGAGTGAGGTGTCTTTCAGGATCGTGAGTAAAGCAGCAAGGATTTCTAGCATTCCAGCTCATGGGTACTAAGCAGATATCATGTCCAAAAAATTCCGCCGTCAGACAATCCCCACTCCGGAATTCCTCTTGGTAAGCCTCATGGAGTCCAAGTTCACAGTTTATAAAGAGCAAGAAAGCTGCTTCCTCAGCAACACAAAAGTTCTGGTAGAAGCTGTGGCTGCTGGAGGAAAAGCTTCCCAAGTTTCAGCATCCTGTGAGCTGAAAGAATTCGACTATAAATTGTGAAGAAACCAGAAAATGTCCCATGGCTACGATTTGAGAATGATCAAGTACCTGTACAGTGCCCTAAAAAAAGCCCTTAGGGCAGCCTAGATAACATTTCCCAGTAATCAAAGATCTAATTTTAATAGTTCTTACCAAAATTCTTAAATCAAAAGCCACACTGACTGCTATTAGCAACCTTACTAATTTCATCTCATTTCCAAATCCTCTGCACTCTACTAAATAAGCCTTTTCTTTTCTGTAAATAGAACATGGGTGTCACTGGGCTGTAGGATAACGGGAGAATTCAGAAGTTTGAAAGATTGCCAAGGGGAGACAATCGAGCAGAGCAGCTAGAGATGGCTCTGTGTTCGGAGTGCCTGGGTTTCATTCTGGCTTTGCCACTTACTATGACCAGGGGGCAAATTTCTGAACCTCACTCTGTGCCTGTTTCCCCTTCTATAAAATGGAGATAATAAAGAATGACCATCTCACAGGGTTGCTAAGATTAAACGAGATAATACACATATAGACCCTGACATGTAGATAAAAATCAGTTAGCTATTATTGTCTCTATTATTATTTAGGTAACAAGTCACACTTCTAAGTACACTTTATCAAACATATTCAAGGCATCCTAGAGAATGGTCTCTTCGCTAAGCAAAGATTTAATAGCAAATACTGTTTATACATTTATATGCAATATCAAGAGAGAGATTTGCAACGTCTTGGGAAGGTACCTTCTGAAGCCTCCTTTGACATACCACTTGTTGACAAAGCAAATTAGGAAAGGTTAAAACTAACCTAATAAATTTAAATAATCAAAGGCAGACAATTCCTCCAATAGAAAAAAAACCCCATTGAAATTAAGAATCTTCTGGAAAATGATAGAAGGAAAGAATATAGTAATAAAGATGGTAGAGATTTGTTTCTTAAAAAAGGAAAATCCTTGGGGCCAGCCCGGTGGCGCAGCAGTTAAGTTCACACATTCTGCTTTGGCAGCCTGGCGTTTGCTGGTTCAGATCCCAGGTGCGGACATGGCGCCGCTTGGCATGCCATGCTGTGTAGGCGTCCCACATATAAAGTGGAGGAAGATGGGCACGGATGTTAGCTCAGGGCCAGTCTTCCTCAGCAAAAAGAGGATTGGCAGCAGATGTTAGCTCAGGGCTAATCTTCCTCCAAAAAAAAAAAAGGAAACGCACTGCAGCGGAGGGGTCCTGTTCAGCACCTCTAATGGCTTCTAAGCATCTAGGTCCAGTAGTCCCTATGCTAGGAGCTTCAGCGGCTTTGCTTCTTCGGCGTCGTCAGCAGAACTGTGACCATCTATTCTACCACAAAAACGCAAGTGACTGGGAAACAACGTCAATGAGGGACCTCTGGGGATAGTTTAATAATAGTGTTTTCCCAGTTAAGAATAGAATTTCCCTTCTTTCATGCATAAAATTAGGATTTCTGCATAACCCAAAAAGAAAAGTAATTAATATGAATTTTCAGGTTCCAAAGATGCATGCAACATTATAATCCTTAACTATAAGCCTAAATTTTGAAAGTTTCTCTTAGTTGGCTAAATACAGCAGTTTATGAATATGCTGGTTTAAGCTCTTTCTCCTGGCGTATCAGGATAACAGTATCTCAGCCTGAGCAAGAATAAATCCATAGGTTCTTTAAATTAGGTATAAGAATAGGTTAGCAAACCTAGACTAAGCTGACAAAATTTTCCAAGAAAAATCAGGGAAAAAATGTCCAAGGTATTGATATATTACCTAGGTCTTGTTTTCATGTAATTCTGCTGTTACTTATACCCACTGCCCAATGACTGGAACACGCATCTGTTTTCTAAGGTGTATGCTGGACCAGGCTTCCTTTAATTCAGTCTGTGTGCACAGTTCGGCTCAGGTTCTAGGTGTGTTGACTGCTTCTGTCATACTAAGGAAAGGTCTCCACGTTTCTCTGCAATGGAATTTCTTTCTCATTTTGTAGGTTAAGAAGCCAACAATCTCTCTCCCAGCACTTTCTGAGATTCATGTGTCAAAGGTACTTCGTAGATGGTTTAAGAGTATATGAAAGAAACACCGTAACTGAGCTCACTAAGTCACTAACACTGAAGCACTGATCCACGCTGGAAATTGCTGGGATTATCTCTTGGATTTGCTGTTTTCCTTTCTGTAACATGAAAGTAAAAATTGTGTGTTCTGCTCTCCTTTAGAATGCCTGGAAGGTAAAAACAAACATCCCTTTATCTCAAAGTAATTAAAGTGCAAGTCTTTCTTAGCTGGGGATTCTCACTGGCCAAGTGCAATGGCCCTCCCGTCGTTTCCCTTTATGTGATGCCACAGCAAGGACAGTCCTGTCCTTACTGGAACTTTGCGAAGTTGACACAATGTCAGAGTCGGAACGGATCTTAAATGATCTAAACTTCTCAAGCTGTGTTGGGATGCCTGATGTACACTATAACTACCAGGTGACTGTTCAGAAAATCTTAAACAAAGAAGCCAACCAAAATCCTCCAACTTTCTTTCCCAGAAAAGTAGAGAATTCTTAGCACAGGTACCTAACGCCCATGCTATTAAGAATTACACCTTCCAAACAGCATCAGAGAAATGAGAATTACTTTCTAGAATTAGGTCTCTAGGGTTAATCCACCCTTCTGCAGTGCTGAATTTGTTTTGCAGTCCAAGGACATATCTAAATATTAAACATGAAAAACTAGAATCTATGATCTGGAAAACAAGGGCCTTAATAAAAATACAAAATGATTTTCTTTAAACCTATTGATTAAATAATCAGGTTCAGTATATCTAGAAACATCATTTACCATCTATATTATTCAAAAGCAAACAAACTGAAGCTTGTATTTAACATGGAGGGAGGGAGGCTACTGCAAGGAGTAGAAAAGACTCGAAATGAGGGCAACACCTTACTTCTAAGGATATACTAGAAACTCTTAAATATAAGCTACAGTTCAGCAGCTTTTAAAATTTCATGTTTATTCATATTTTTCAAAATATATGTACATAAAAAAAGGAAGATTTACAACAGGAAAGATTGCCTTACATGCAACACAAATTCCAATGAACTCATGATGGGATCACACATGATTATGGATCTAATTGAAGCCAATCTTCTCGAGTCCATTTCCCAGCCACACGTCGGGCTGCAGACAAGATCCCAGGAGACAGTGCAAGTGGAATGAATGAGACAGATATCTTCTGCTTCTGGCAGCACTTAAGGGGCCAGAGGATGTACACCAAAAGGTTTAAGACAATTAAAATGTCAAGTGCCACAGGGAGGATAAATGATAACCAGAAACCAGTATTTCTCAAGTAGAAAGCTACTACTATTTAACACAACCTCACAATACTAAAACAAATACAAATAAGAAAGGGTTAGGTAGTTGGGCTTCATTTGCTTTTTTTCTTTTCTTTTTTTAAATATCTCAAAAAGGAAGCCACTTGTTTGATATCAAAAGTGCTGTGGAAAGAAAGGAGGGGAAAAAAACCCAGAGATGAATCTGGAATCTAGTTTATTTTAGCAAATTGTATGTTTTTCCACTTAACATTTCTACATTAGCAATGATTTAACTCTCCAACATTTCCTTATAAAAAAGGCATACAGGAAGTGACAATTCATGCTCCAAATATTAAAAAATATATTTAAACATTTGATCAAGAAGATTTCATATGTTTTTACTTTCGGTAACACAGGTGACACCAGAAACCACAAATTTAATATATTTCTCTATTTCTCCTTCAGTCAAAAACCAAGTGGTGGAGAGAACTTGTGCTTGCTGTTAAGGGAATCCAATGCCCTGGGCCAGCAAAAAACACCTGGAAATTGATCAATACGAAAAGCGGCCCAAAGGAGTCGTGCATCTTCAGAATCTAATGAGAGCATAATGTTTTTGGCTTATTCCCAAAGCTAAGTCATCTCGGTATTTATAGTTGGAGAGAAAGGGTTAGTGGAGTGATTTTATAAATAAGATGAATTATTACAGCTATAACTGAAGTCTTCAGGCAGGAGGCTTTGCAATTCAGTCAGTGCTATACTGCCTCCTTGTACTTCCAGCACCTGACCAGCATCCTGTTCTTGATGCTTTCTGCAAACATAAAAATCTTTGCAACTATTTAGACAAAACTGGAAGGGAAAAAAAACAAACCAAAAAAAAAAGCCAAAGTTGACCATAAAAAAAGAAAGAAGGTTGGGGTGGAGGGAGAAAAAAGGACAAGTATAGATTACACAGTGCAGGAAAGTCCAGAATCATCACAGAAATTAAAATGACTGCGGGAAGGGGCAGGCACCAAGAACAGCACCTAAAGCTAACAAATGCCTAAATTGGTTTATTTATATTCCCTCCCCACAATGTTCACAGAGGAGGAAAAAAATGTAATTTTCAAAGCATCAAAACTAAAACAAATGCAAACTGACCTTAGAAAATAAGATTTTGAATTTCATCATGATACCCTTTTTCCTATAAAATTTACTTTTTTGCTTTGAAAGATTTCTTCATGGTGGATTTGCCCTTGCCAGGCAATTTCACTTCCTTTCTCACACTGGCCGCAGGTTTCTTTGAAGAGCTACCACTAGGTTTCTTGATGATAGAGGGTGAGGGTCTGGCTTTCTTGGTGGGAGTTTTGGCCTTAGGAGGGGCTTTCTTGGGTAGGGGCCTAGCTTTCCCCCGCTGGGCAGCTGGGACTTTAGGTGCAGGCTTGGACCCTCTCTGCTTCACTGGCGCAGTCCTCCCTGATGACTTGGCTGGGGTTTTCTTCTGCAACCTGTGAGAAGCAAAAAGCAAAGGCTGTCACTTAGTACTTGAGAGATTCACTTTGCCAGGATGACCAGATATTTTGCCAAAAAAATAGAGCATAGGTATAAGTCACCTGTGTTAAGAAGAGGAATGTGATTTATTATTTTTTTAGAAACTAGAGGCTTAAGTAAAATTGTATAAAAATTCAACCAATTCATGGAAGTCTACACATAATCCCATGATGTTTTTCCTAGGAAAACAGGGAATTATTTTTCTTTGAATATCCAAAATTACTGATATGTATACAGGTTTGACCAAAGAGTAAATTACCTACTCACAGTGCTTCAGTCCCTGAATTCTCAAGGAGAAGACAAGTTCAAATGTTACAGAGTGCTTGAGAAGCATCCTGAGTGGCTGGAGTGCTCACAGCCTCCCCTAGGTGCCATTTCAGCTCTAAGACAGAAGGGCTCACACATCCACACCTTCTCTTAGGCGGTGGCTCTTCATCCTCAGAGTCTTCTTCTGATGAGTCATCTTCATCTTCATCCTCATCTTTAGAATCATCTGGCTCTTTCTTTGGAAATAGAACTCCTGGGCTGTGGGGAAAAAAAATCAGGTAAAAGAGAAGTCCTATACAGAACAAGGAAAAGAATGAGAACCTAAATTTTCTTCCCTGGACATCACTCACTTCCTCCTACCCTCCTCCAAAATGTCAAGTTAGGTTACAAATATCAGGATACAATTTAACCTATTTTGAACACACATACAACGCTGTGACAAATCTACCCCAGACCATACCTCGTTCCCTGCCTCCCTCCAGTTAACAAAATTAATTCTTACTCATTTATTTAGTGAACAATTATTTAAGCTCCTGCTGCGTGTCCAGCACTGCATTGGCCACTGAATATACCAGCAGGGAACAGTCTGTAAGGCAGTGAACAGTCTGCATAGCAGTATACATTTTTTGCCCTGATGATACTGGCAAAAGACCTCATAGTATTATAAAGCCCAAATCTCTTCAAAGTTTTAGAGAAATTCAGCAAGGATCTGCTAATTTTTCTTTGCCCTTAATGGGAGAAATCTTGATCCTGTTGATTAATAAGTCCTTGCATTGTAACATTTTTTGTGTATAACTTTAAGAATTAAATCTATTATTTATTTTTTTGCTGAGGAAGATTAGCCCTGAGCTAACATCTGTGTCAATCTTCCTCCACTTTCTATGTGGGTTGCCACCACAGCATGGCTGACAAGTGGTGTAGGTCTGTGACAGGGATCTGAACCCACAAACCCGGGCCACTGAAGTGAAGTGTGCTGAACTTAACCACTATGCCATGGGGCTGGCTCCTAAAGTTTAATGTTTGAAAAATTCAAATAATATGCATTCAGCCAAATAACATTTGTTTGTGCACAAAGAACAATATAAAAAGGACACATTGTACTCCTGCTAAAATTGGGTTTAGTAGTACATGTCATGGCGCTTCACTAGAAATGAAAGTACAAGGAGGCTATAGCAGGGTACAGGGAACAATGCTCGGCTCAAAGAAGGGGCTCAATGGATTCTTTGGTTCAATGAATAAATAAGGTGATGTCTAAGAGATAGGTTTTCAAATAAATCTCCCTGTCTCTACAGTATGAAGAAGGCAGATTAGGATTCTTGGAATATTCTCCCTGATCAGTGCTGGACAATTAAAACATATATATAATCCTCTAATTATCTTCTTGTCATTATCATTTATTTAATAAAAAACGAATGAACCTCAAATTACTGGCCAAGGATCTCAAAGAAGTCTTGATTTTAGGAAGTGCTGGCTAACAAGCAGCTTCAGAAGGATAGCCAAAATTTCCCTGTTCTTACATCAAAACCTTTTGCTCTACAACAATACTGCCTTAAGTAGTCTTTATTTTCAAATACATACAGTTCAGTGTAATAGTAATAAGGATAAAATAAGTTAATCCAAGCCTGTAACCTAGAATAGTATTTTAAACATACAGTACTTCATATTATGGGCTAGGTACTTACCTGGGGTAATAGGGAAAACAGAGCTGGAAGGTGCCACTGAATCCTTTACCAGAGATCTGTTCCATCCACCCATTCTTTTCGCATTTCTGCAAGGTTTTCTTCAGCAAATGCACTGAACAAAAATTCAGGAATTAAGAAATTTAGTTATTTAAATTTGATGACTCTCTCAACCACAGTTATACATCAATTTAATGTCCTATCACATACAGTAATTGACATGTGCTAAGTGAAACTTTCGTGGCCAAAGGGATTAACTAATTCACTAAACATTCATTAAGTGTCCATAATTTGGCAAGAGTTGAAATATAATGGCAACAGACTTCAGAGACCATTGGGTCAAATTCCTCATTTTACAGAAAGGGAAATAGGAACCCAGAGTGGTTAGTGACTTGCCTTACAAGTTGCACAAAAATGGCTAATACCTGACTTAAGACTAAATCTGTCCTTATTTCCATCCATCCAAACATCTATTGAGTACCAATCATCTAGGAGAGTATGTATAAAGATAAACAGAACTAATTTCTCATGAATCAGCAAACAGTAACAGAATGATATCATGGCTCCAAAAGGTCTCACCAATTCTCGTCTTTCATAAAGAGACACATCAAAAATATATTTTATGGTGATTCAATATCCAAAATATAGCTGCAATATTACTGCAACTGACAAAGTTAATAATGAAATTCATGTTCTTAGAACACTTGGCCAAAAGAGAAAATCATAAAATAGTCTATAAGGGTCAACATGCACAATTAACACAGTACCCTGTTGTGTCTGTGAGGAAGATTGGCCCTGACCTAACATCTGTTGCCAATCTTCCTCTTTTTGCTTGAGGAAGATTGTCGCTGAGCTGACAATCTTCTGTGCCAATCTTCCTCTATTTTATGTGGGATGCCACTACATAGCATGGCTTGATGAGAGGTGCTAGGTCCAAGCCCAGGATCTGAACCTACAAACCCTGGGCCACTGAAGCGGAGGGAGGGCACGAATTTAACCACTATGCCACAAGGCCAGCCCCAACACAGAATGTATCTTAAGTAAGGAAAGATTAAAAAACAATCAGAAAGTATTCCTTCATAATGTTAAAAAAATACATCTTACATATATTAAAAGTCAATATTGGGGCCAGCCGGGTGGCGCAGCGGTTAAGTGCGCATGTTCTGCTTTGGTGGCCCAGGGTTCACCAGTTTGGATCCCGGGTGCGGACATGGCACTGCTTGGCATGCCATGCTATGGTAGGCATCCCACATATAAAGTAGAGGAGGATGGGCATGGATGTTAGCGCAGGGCTAACCTTCCTCCAAAAAAAAAAAAAAATCAACATTAAGACTTCAAAATCACCTTTTTATTTAAAACAATATATTCTAGTTTGCATTTTCTGTTAGTTACTTCATTTCCATATTCCTCACCCTACACCACTGTGACTATTCTAGTAGTTCACTGAGAAAATACAGTCTCACTAATCCATATATGATAATGCTGCCAAGGCAAGGTTTGTGATCTCAAATCACCACCTGAAGGGTAAATATACTTTACTGGAAAAAAGTATTTTCTGTTATAGGGCCTAAATCAATGAGAAATAACCTAAGTAGTAAGTATTTAAAAACACTGGCTTGGTTTTAAGGTGCAATTAGATGTTTTGGTAAACACACAGAAGTGGGCAAAAAGATACTAAACTTGAGAGGCATTTTAAACCTAGAGATTTACCTAAATTACAATAAAAATACCAGAAAAATCTTTACAGCAAAGTAAAATCAAATTCTGATCTTCAGCAGATATTGTAAATTAAAGAGAAGGCTTGATTATTTTCCTTTCTGTAAATCATAAATTAAATTTGAAAAGTTGTGGTTCCCCCTCTTGGTTTTCCCTGACAGTAGTTAATGCTTTGTAATTAGTAACACCATCTGTAGTGATTTTTCACAAGATGGTACCCCTAATCCTGGTTAAATGCATACAACTCTTAAGTCTTACTTTGATAGTTGGAATTGGTCCCTGGGTGGTTCTCCAGGACATACTTCTTCAGAGCAGTGGTGGAGCAGGTCTTCGGCTCATTCATGGCAGCAATGGCAGACAAGATTGCATATTCCATCAGGCTTCCACCAAGCAGGGGTTTCTCCCCTGATTTCTTCAGCTGTTTTCCAAGGAGGAAGAGAAAAGCATCAAGACAACACTCTCCCAAAGCAGGTCAAGACAAGACTCCTCTGCACCAGGTGGGTCGGAGTTCCTGCATTAGCACAGATATGTTTTACAATAAATTGTCAGGTTAGGGACTTTCTCTTCCCACTCATCAGGTATTCACCCTAACTGAGGAGTCCCAGCCCTCCTATGGATATTTTCTCCTTCCATCTACCCCTCCATCCAACCTAAAATATCAATAGCTAACCTAACCCAAAGAGACCAACAAGTCTACCCCAATAAGCAGATTAACTTTTTATGCCCCCAATAAACTAAGACACTTTTATTTGAGAATACTTCCTTTTTCCTGAATCTAAAAAATAAAGTAGTTATAAAAATAGTAAGTAGGCAAACAGCAAAGGAAAAGTTTGATAAATATTTAAGGTATCATACAACAGAAAATTACATAGCATATTTTATGGACAAAAGGCTGGGGAACAAAGGTTAGCACTAATAAGCAAAAAGGGTGAAAGGACAAACTCAGGTATGGTCTACAATAGTGATTTTCAGAGCGGTCCACAAACCCCTTGGGGTTCCTGAGACCCTTGCAGAGGACCTGCAAGGTCAAAACTATTTTCATAGTAATACTAAGATGCGATGTGCCTTTTTCACTGTGGTGACACTTGCACTGATGGTGAAAAAGCAATGATGGATAAAACTGGTGCTACCTTATCACAAATCAAGGCAGAGAAACAAAAATATACCACTAGTTACTATATTCTTTACTGCTATGCACTTGTGGTTTAAAAAAAAAAAAAGCCAGTTTCACTTAAAAATATCCTTGATGAAGTATTAAAAATTATTTTATTAACTCTCAACACCAGTGCACGTCTTTTTCATATTTTATTATATGGGATAAACAGGAAGAATGCATAAAGTATGTTGGCTGCACATGGAGGTATGATGGTGGTCTCAAGGAAAAGCACCCCACTGATTGAGCTGTGAAGCTGAACTAGCTGCATTTTTCATGGAATATCCTTTTTATTTGATGGAACAACTAACAAACTATGGTTATTCAGACTTGGGTATCTGATAGACATTGTCTTGAAAACGAATAAAGTGAGCCTGTCACTTCAAGGAAAACAAGTAACAGTATTAGTTGTCAATGATAAAATTCAACTTTTTAAGAGAAAATTTAAATTGAGAAAACTTGTATCTACTATTGTGAGTTTGATAACCCTAGTACTTAAATATTGTTCTGATGAGATCAGTGGGTGATATTAATGAATGTGATTTTTGTTACTGTTTTTGACAAAATGTGTCAACATTTAAAAACTCTGCATAATTCAGTGAACCCATAACTTCCAAATGACCATGTGACAAATTTACACATGATTAAAAGATCTACTCGAAGTTTAAGACAAACCAAAAGGATTTTAAGGTAACAGAGTAGAAGTTGTTCACTGACATGGTTTCAGGTTCTACATGGCAAATAAACTTTAAGGAATTACCACAAAATCAAGTAATGTAATATACTATATTAACACAATAAAGGAGAAAAACCACATGATCATCTCAAGAGACTAAAAAAAAGTATTTGACAAATCCAACAGCCATTCATAATAAAAACTCTCAACAAGCTAGTAATAGAAAGACTGAATAGACAAAGATGTCTGCTCTCATGGCTGTATTAGAGTGCCTATCTAGTGGAATCAAGCCGGGGGGGGGGGGGGGGAGACATCCTGATTGGAAAGGAAGAAGTAAAATGCTCTTTATTTGCAGATGACATGATCCAGTATGTAGAAAATCCTAGGGAATCCACAAAAGATCCTAAGAAGCCCACAAAAAACCTACTAGAACTAGTAAATGAGTTCAGCAAGGTCACAGGATACAAGATCAACAGACAAATCAATTTTATTTCTATAGCCTAGCAATGAACAATCTGAAAAGGAAAATAAGAAAATTCCATTCACCATACCATGGAAATACCTAGGAATAAATTTAACAAAAGAAATATAAGACTTATACACTAGAAACTACAAAACATTACCAAAAGAAGTTAAGATCTAAATAAATGAAGAGACCGAAGACTTATATTTCCCAATTTGAAAACTCACTACAAAGCTACAGTCATCAACACAGTGTGGTACTGGCATAAGGATTCACATATAGATCAATGAACAGAACTGAGAGTCCAGAAACCCTTAAATTTATGGTCAACTTTTTGATTTTTGATAAAGGTGCCAAGGCAAATCAATGGGGAAAGGATAGTCTTTTCAATAAATGGTACTAGGAGAACTGAATAGCCACATGCAAAAATACAAATTTACACCCTTACCTCTTACCATAAAACAAAACTTAACTCAAAATTGATCATGGACCTAAATTTAAGAGCTAAAACTATAAAACTCTTGCAAGGAAACATACGAGTAAATCTTCGTGACCTTAAGTTAGGTGATGATTTATTTGATGTAACAGCAACAGCATAAGCAATTAAAAAGAACTGATAAACTAGACTTCATCAAAATTAAACACTTGGGGCGGGCCCCGTGGCATGGTGGTTAAGTTTGGCGGGCTCTGCTTCAGTGGCCCACGTTCATGGGTTCAGATCCTGGGCACGGACCTACACCACTTGTCAACCATGCTGCGGCAGCAACCCACATAGAAAGTGGAGGAAGACTGGCACAGATCTTAGCTCAGGGCTAATATTCCTCAAGCAAAAAAAAAAAAAGAGGAAGACTGGCAACAGTTGTTAGCTCAGGGCTAATCTTCCTCAGCCAAACAAAAAAGTTAAACACTTTTGCACTTCAAAAGATACCATTAAGTGAAAGCTCAGGCCACAGAATAGGAGAAAATATTTACAAATCATGTATCTAATGAGGAAGTTGTATTTAGTTATGTAACTCTTATAAATCAATAAGATGACAACCCAATTTCAAAAATGGGCAAAGGATGTGAATTGACATTTTACCAGAGAAGATAAACAAACGTCCACTAAGCACATGAAAAGATGGTCAACATCAGTAGTCATCAGGGAAATACCAACCAAAACCACAACAAGATGCCACTTTGTATCCACCAGTATGGTTATAACCAAAGAGACAATGTCAAGTGTTGACAGAGATATGCAGAAACTAGAACCCTTATATATTGATGGTGGAAATGTAAAATGACACACACTTTGGCAGTTTCTTAAAACAAATTTACCATATAGTCCAGCAAGTCCACACTCCTAGTTATATACCCAAGTGAAATGAAAACATTTTATCTGCACAAAGATTTGGAATAAATGCTCATAAGCAATATTAATCATAATAGCTAAAAAGTAGAAATAACTCAAATGTTCATCAACTTGTAAATGGATAAATAAAATGTGTCAGATCCATACAATGGAATACTATTTGGCAATAAAAAGAAATGAAAGTGCTGATTCGTGCTGCAACATGGATAAAACTAAAAAAATACTATGCTAAGTGAAAAAAGTCAGACACAGAAGACCACATGTTGCATGATTCTATCTATATAAAATACGTAGAAAAGGCAACTCCATACAGAAAGAAGGTTCATTAGTAGGTTGGCTGGGGATGGGAATGGGGAATGACTGCAAATGGGCACAAAAGATTTTTTTCAGGGGATGGAAATGTTTTAAAATTGGATTGTTGTGATGACTGTACAACTCTATAAATTTACTAAAAATCATTGAATTATAAGTTCTAACTTAAAATGAGTGTATCTTATGGTATATAAATCATAGCTCAATAAAGCTATTAAAAATATCATTTGTTGAGTTTTGGTATAGTAGCAAAGAATATAATATACACAACTATTTGAAAATTATCTTAAAACACTCCATCCTTTTCTAACTATATTTCTGTGTGAGCTGAACCTTCTTCATAGATCTAACCCAAAGTAAAACAGATACGAGCTGTCGTCTATTAGGCTAGATGTTAAAATTTCTCATTAAAATTTTTTAAAAATTCTCATTAAAATTTGTTTTGGAAACTATAGTTTTCACAAAAAATGTTATGTTAATGTGTAATGGGTTATTTTTAAATGAACTAATAAATATTTAAAGTTTTCTCAGTTTTAATTTCTACTATGATAAATATTGATAGGTATATCCACATAAACAAAAGCTCTTGGGATCCTCAATAAATCATTAGAGTAAAGGAGGCCCTGAAACGAAAACTTTTGAAAACCACTTCTCTATATAACCAAGCCTTTTTGGCCTCTAACCTGGAATGTTCCAGAAGCACCTTTGCCAGTTATTTGTTCTAACTGGCCTCTCTCTACTGCTCTCTGCAGAGCGTTCTTCAACAGCTGAGGCCTGCAAATAAAACAAAAAATAGCAATGAATATATCAATGCAAGAGTGATCTGAAGAAACAGATCCAGGGCTATTCCCTGAACTAAATAAAGTTCTGACTCCTGTTATATGGAGTACTTTGTTAAAATGGACAATCAAGTAGTAAATTGTTAGCACTCTTAAGTGGCATTCTTTTTTCTTCAAGCAAAGAAGCCAAGCCATTACCTGTACATACAGAACCATGTATGATACAGAACCAATTTCCAAATTGCCAGGACACTCCAAAAACCAATCACTTATCACCAGACCACAACGGCAACCAAACTGTGTAATCAAGCAAAGAATGGGCATCTTTCAAGACCCATCCAACTCTGGAATTCTGAGGTAAAACTCCTGGATTTTTTAAAAGTATGTACACATTAACCAAAAACAATGGAGTCATTTTTTGCAAACCAGTATCTAAAGTCAGCCTAATAAGATACAATTCCCTTGGAAAGAAAATACGTTGTTTTTAACATAGTACCTCTGTCTTAAGAGGGCTGTAGTTAAAAAAAAAACATAAAAACTAGGTTATCAAAACCAAATGGCATGCAAGAAGAAACTGTATCATTAAAAACATAATACCAAAATGTTGAAGCAAGAGCTGCTCTGTCAAGGGGCAGTAGTCTGTATGGTGGCTGGGGAACCTCAAGTGCAGGGAGAACCAATCAAGCTGAATTACAGCTTTATGGGGACTGTGACAGAGAACAAGATGGAGTCAAATGTAAAGCTATGTATCCAGGCTAACAATAGGACGTCTAAGAAAGGACTCATCATAAGCCAAAACTTTGGTGATGTGTTTTGCCACACCTCTCAAGAAAAAATTACTAGAATAGCACCCAATAAAGCAGAGTATCATGAAACTCATTTGAAACTAGTTGCTACATAGACAGAAAAAAATCAATGAGACAGCCCAATGAGAGCCCAACTATTATCATTCAAGATGCTTCACTGAGCTTCGACATTTTTCTGTGGAGAAGAAATTCTGAATCTTATCTAACCACTAAGCATTACAGGCTGAGTTGACACAAGTTATTAATTCCATCATCCATATGCTTGGGGAAGAGGAGAAGAGTAGAGGGGAATCTCATGTTCTAACAGGATGCTAAAGAGCAGGAACTATACTATCAAATCGTGTACATGCCTGACACTCCAAATGAAGAAACTCCTCCCCCCAGCCCTGCCCTCCTCCAAAACTCCCAATGAAAGTATTTCTAAGCCAGTGCTATTCCATTCAGGACAAACATGACTTATGTCATGACCCAGACACACATATACTCACTCATTTATCCCACAAATATTTACTAAGTATTTATTATGGCTATGGAGGAATAAACACATAGATCTGGTCACTAAACTCAAGGAATTTACGAGATGATAAATGCATAATAGAGAGTGATAAGGGTCAGGGTTGAAGCACGTGCACAGAGCCTTGGGAACATAAGTGAGGCAGTGACTTAACTGTCAAACAATTTTTCTATTAGTTCCTCCATAAGTTAAAGGCTGATTTCCAATGGGGGATCACAGAGCTTAAGTAAAACACTGAAATCTCAGACTCTTTTCTTTATCAAATTAAATAACCGGTCTGAGAAGAATCTTCTTAACCAAGGTTCAAATGCTCCAGGCATAAGGATCACTTAAACCGGTCACCTTAATATTTTTGTTTTCTCAGCAATACCAACCATTACACTAGCATATACCTTGTCCTGGGCTTTTAGAAATCTCATTCACTCACTTCTATCTTCAGGTAAAACCATATTTACCAACTGCTTCAAAGTTTCTCAGACTGGCCTCTTCTCTCTAATCACTGCCAAACCTTAGTCAAAGCCACCATGCCCTGCCTTCTGGGTACTGCACTACTTTCTATTTTCATAGTGCACTCCACTATGAGGTTAATACACCTACAAAGGCCCCCTTTATTATGTTACTCAACTAACCAGGTATCAGGTCTTAATGCATCAACCCAGCTTCAAAGCCTTCCATAACATGGTCCCACCAGTCAGACCCAGGCTTCTGCTTCTTTTAGTACCCAAAAAAGAATGCCAACTCCTGCCTCTGAAATTTTCTCGTGCAGCTCCTTTGAGAATGCCTTCCCCACTCTATCATCCCATCTAAGTCTATCATCCCATCTAAATTCTACATTCTTCTGGACCTACTCAGGCCCCATCTCTTTACCCCTCTGCTAATTCACAGGCACAGCTCTCTTTTCTGGAAAAATTCTATAGTCCGTATCACACTATTTTTTACTGGCTATGGTGCCAACCGTTAATCATTTCTCCAAGGTCACAGGCAGTGGAAGAAACTGGCTACAAATGTGGGCAGTCTGACTCCAGATTCTGCATTCTTACACACTATGCTATGCCTGCACTTTCCAATATAAGACAATGCTAAACAGTGGAAAAAGTAAGAGGTGTATAACTGAAAGATGAAATAAAGTTCTGGCTCACCAGTGAATAGCCAGGTAACCCTGGGTAAGATTTTTACCAGCAAAACTGGGCTAGGAATATCTATTTTTAAGTCTATTTTGAGAATTATGGGAAACAATGTAAACAAAAGTGGTTTATAAAGCCCTATACAAATTCGAGGGACTGTTTATTGTTACAGCACTTTTTTTAAAAAGTAAGATGATTAGACGAGTTTAATTAGAAAGCAGGGAATAATGGGTGATTGTTGGTAGCCATGTTTTTCAACTGTGGAGAAAGGCAATCTCCACTGAAATATAAAAACGAAAGCCCTGTACAGAGAGAGCTGAAGGTAAGGGGTGGAGAGCACGTTGCAACTGACAGCAGCAACAGTTCTGAGCAGCAGGGATCTAAATAAGAGAATTACATCAGTCTGTTAGAAATGCACAGATGAATTAAGATAAAGAGACTCAAAATTACTACTTAATGGTTGAAACCATTAAGAATCTAAGGGGTCTCCAAAGAAATTAATACGTTTAGAGAAACGTATAGGGCATAAAATTGAATCTTGGCTTATGTTCATTTTTGGCGTGGGTTAGAAAGAGAAAAATCAAAGAGAGTATAAAGAAGTTACACCATATGTAAGGATTAGATCTTAAAATCTGATTTCTAATGCCATTGGACAGAATTACCCTCAAAAGTTTCTAAAGGCACCTTCTTAGAGACCAACCCAAAGTCTCTATGTAAACCCAACATGTCCAGTTTTTCCTCTAGGGTTGCAAAAAATCAGTTATCACATTAAGATAGTGACATACATGTTATATAAAAAACATCTTTAAACATCAGAATCATATTTAGCACAGTGTGATGCTCACACCATAAGAATTATGTTGGAACTGAGAGTGACTAATAATACTAACACTGAGTACTTACTACATGCCAGGCACTGTTCTAAGTGCTTAACATGTACTAAGAGATTTAAGCCTCCTAAGAATTCTATGAGTTAATCAATGAGGAAACTGAGACATAAAGATAACTTATTCAGAGACACAAAGCTGGAAATGACAGAATCAGGGTTCAAACCTAAGGGGACTGGTTCTACAGTCTGTGCTCTTAACCACAGTGCTCTACAGACTCCAGGACATGGGAGGAGACATTCACGTCTCATCTCACATGCTCCAGGGCATATGCTCCTTGGGAATGGCCACATGAAGTGCCCATATTCACTCATTCAACTAATATTTATCGAGCAACTACCGTCTGCTAGGCTCAGGGGAAACAGAAGTGAATAATACAGATAAAAATCCTGGCCTTCAGAAATCTGAAATTTTAATGGACAAGTTATTTGTTTAAAAAGCAAATAAGGGGGGCTGGCCCCGTGGCCGAGCGGTTAAGTTCGCGCGCTCTGCTGCAGGCAGCCCAGTGTTTCGTTGGTTCGAATCCTGGGCGCGGACATGACTCTGCTCATCAAACCACGCTGAGGCAGCGTCCCACATGCCACAACTAGAAGGACCCACAACAAAGAATATACAACTATGTACTGGGGGGCTTCGGGGAGAAAAAATTTAAAAATCTTAAAAAAAAAAAAATAACTGAAGTTTAAAAAAAAAAAAAGCAGGGGCTGGCCCCGTGGCCGAGTGGTTAAGTTCGTGCGCTCCGCTGCAGGCGGCCCAGTGTTTCGTTAGTTCGAATCCTGGGCGCGGACAAGGCACTGCTCATCAGACCAAGCTGAGGCAGCATCCCACATGCCACAACTAGAAGAACCCACAACGAAGAATACACAACTATGTACCAGGGGGCTTTGGGGAGAAAAAGGAAAAAATAAAAAAAAATTGTTAAAAAAAAAAAAAAAAGCAAATAAAATATGTAGTATGCTAGAATGTGATGAGCACTGTGAAGAAAAGGCAGAAATACAGAATTCTGAATGCTGGGAGAGAAGAAAAAGGTTGCAAAGATAATTTAGTTGGTCATGTCAATCAAATGCAACATGTGGGCCATGTTCGATACTGACTCAAAACAACTGTAAAAAGTCATTTTGAAGACAATTGGGCACATGTGAACATGGCCTGAGTATTGGGTAATGTTAAGGAATTACTAATTTTGTTAGAAATAACATTAGTATGATGGTTATAATCCCTACATTTATGTATATGTTTGAAAATTTCCAAAATGAAATGTTGAAAAAATATTAAGGCAGTTAAGGCAGGCCTGTGGTGACCACATTAAGAGTAAAAACTTGAAGGAAGTGAAGGAGTGAGCAAAACCAATTAATGGGGAAAACCACTCAGGCAAAGGGAAGAGCAAGCAAGAAGGCTCTGAGGCCAGTGAGGGAGGAAGAGCAGTAGATCAGGTCAGAGATGCAATGGAAGTGTAATGTTCTGCAGGCCATTTAAAGGTTCCAGCTATAACCAAGAGGAGGTTGGGAAGCCACTGGAAGGTCTGAGGAGCACGGTGGTAACATCTAACTTACAGTTTTGAAAGTATCGCTCTCACTGCCATGTTAAGAACAGACTGAAGAGGAGGGAGCATGAGAGAAGCAGTTAAGAGGTTACTGCTCTAATACAGATGAGAGATGATGGCGGCTTCAAAGAAAGTGGTGATAGTGGAGGTAATGAGAAGAGGTCTGTTTATGGATATATTTTAAAAGACAGAGCCACGGTAATTGCTTAGCAATTAGATGTAGCTGTGGGATAAAGAGAAGAGCCCAGCACAAACCCAAGGTTTTCGGTTTCAGCAACTGGGAAGATGATGTTGTCATTAACTGAGATGGAGAAGACCTTGAAGGTGCAGAAGAGGGGAGTGGTGGATCAAGAGTTCAGTTTGGGACATGTCAAGTTAGCCATACAAGTGGTGATGTCCAATAGGCTCCTATATACATCAATGTGGAATTAGGAGGGAGGTGTGGGCCAGATTTACATATCTGTAAATTAGTAGTGTACAGGTGGTATTCAAAGCTTTGAAAGTGGAAAGAATTACCAAGTGAATGTGGACAGAAAAGACAAGAGGCCTAAGGTCTAATAAGCCTGGGGCATTCTTTCTTTTTTTTTGAGCAAGATTAGCCCTGAGCTAACATCGGCTGCCAATCCTCCTCTTTTTGCTGAGGAAGACTGGCCTTGAGCTAACATCCATGGCCATCTTTCTCCACTTTATATGTGGGACGCCTACCACAGCATGGCTTGCCAAGCGGTGCCATGTCCGCACTGGGGATCCGAACCGGTGATCCGAACCGGTGAACCCTGGGCCACCAAAGCAGAACACACGCACTTAACTGCTGCACCACCAGGCCAGCCCTCCGTGGGGCATTCTTACATTAAGGAGTTACGAAATGGGAAATCAGCAATCCTTAGGGGATTAAGAAAGTATGGGTAAAGTTGGAGAAAAATCAGGAAGGTATGGTGTCCTGGAAAGGAAGTAAAGAGTGTTTCAAGCAGGAGAGAGTCACTGACTGTTTCCAACACCAGTGAGAGACCAGCAAGTTAAGGATTATAAACTGACCAATGAAATCTGTAACATGAAGGTCACCAGTGACACTGATAGGAAGAAGTAATTCAGGTAAAACGCTGGGGGTAAAGTGTGACAAAAGCAGGTTTAAGAGAAAGTAGGAGGGGAGAAATTACAGACAACCAATATAGATAACTCATACTTAAAGACATATTTTTCTTGCCCTTTTGTTTGACCAAGTTTAAGTATGGCTGAATTTTCATGTTAAATGTATAAATGTAAATGCAGGGCCTCCACTGCAGTCAGAAGTAGAGAAAATCAACACGGTTTCACAGAAGCCAATGGAAAAAGCGTCTCAAAGGAAAAAGTTACCATTAATAAGGTCAGAGGAAAAGGTTTTCAGGTTCATTAGCATCTTTGGGTTGACAACCCATCTGGTACCAGGCAAATTTTGTTTCAACATAAGATGATGACAGGAAACGTTCTCAAAGACTAGACATGGAGCAAAGTTATACAACTATCAGCAACCCGTCTTACGTAAGCAGAAACATAAGGAAAGAAAAAAGCTGGGGGAGGATACGGTCTCCAGTCACCAAAGAAAGAGTAAAGAGAGATACAAAAGTGAAATGTGTTTCCCTATTTAAACGCATCATACAATGCATTTCTGACCCACGGTTGTATCTGTGGGTCAGACGCAGGACATAAGAAGCAGGAAAATGTCAGGATATTAATTTCCAATTTTATGCTTCTATGATTCCCTTTTCTTTAGCACTATTTCACATTAACTTTAACTGGGCACTCTGAAGATGACTAAGTTCTTTTCTGAAAATGCGGCTTCTGGGCTGAAAACTTCACCAGTGCTAACTGTATGCCTCAGTAATCTAAGTAAATACTGGTATTAAACTATATCAAGACAACATGCATTCAATACAGAAATCTTCTGCAGCAAGGACCCTGGATTAAACACGATTTTCTAAAAGTCATGATAACAAAGAACTCAAACACACATCTAAAACACAAACTCTGTGAATTACAAATTTAAACAAATATGTCTACATGACTCCACAACAAACACATGTGACAATCTAAATAATCGGTCTAGATGGTTTTAAGTGTCAAGTTTTACAAATGAACTACTATCAAAATCCCTGTAGAATTTTTCATTCTATGTTTAATTGAAGTTATTATGCTATTTCTATGTAGAGGTGTAACAGAAGCCTACATTCTCTTATGTTCTCAGCTATAACTCTAAATAGAAAACGAGTACCAACCATTTCATACCCATTAAGATGGCTACTATCAAAAAAACCCAGAAAATAGCAAGTATTGGCAAGTATATGAAGAAATAACTGTGCACCGTTGGTGGCAATGTGAAATGGTATAGCCACTGTGGAAAATGGTATGGTGGTTCCTCAAAATTTTAAAAATAGAATTATCATATCATGCAGCAATTCCACTTCTGGGTATATACTCCAAAGAACTGAAAGCAGGGTCTCAAAGAGATATTAGCACACCAATGTTCCTAGCAGTAATACTCACAGTAACTAAAATGCAAAAGCAACCTAAGTGTCCACTGACAGATGAATGGATAAGCAAAATATAATATGTACAAACAATGGAATATTATTCAGCCTTAAAAAGGAAGGAAATTCTGACACATGGGACAAAATGAATGAATCTTGAGGACATTATGCCAAGTGAAATAAGCCAGTCACAAAAAGACAAATAATGTATAATGCCACTTATATGAGGTACTTGGAGTAGTCAAAATCAAAGACAGAAAGTAGAATAGTGGTTGCCAGAGGCTGGGGAAAAAGGGGAAATGCAGAGTTCTTATTTAATGGGTAGGAAATTGCAGTTTTACAAGATGGAAAATAGTTTTGGAGATGGATGGTGGGGATGGTGGTGATGGTAGCATATTATAAATGTATTTAATACCAATGAACACTGTACACTTAAAAATGGTTAAGGTGGAAAATTTTAGGCTTGTGTGCATTTTACTATAATAAAAAAATTAGGAAAGATAAAAATTAAAAAGATAATGAGCAGCTAAGAGGACAAAGAGTTTAACACTGAATATTACAGAAGCTGACATCATGAAAAGTTACTCTACCAGGGTCTTATAAAAGTCAGGTTTGGGTTTCAAAAAGAAACTATACATGGAGATATGAAAAGGAAAACGCAATGGAACAAAAAAATACAATCTAGTAAAAAGGTTTTTATTCTTAGCCCAGCTAAAAGTAATCTTTCTTGAATATTTAATCTTTCTCCTTTCTCATGAAAAAGGGGGCTGCAGGAACAACACAGACTTCTGTGCTTTAAGGTCCAGGCCAAAGTCTCATACCTGATGTCCACTCTAAGTTTAGGGTAATACTGAGACACATATTTCCTGATGAGACTGTAGGAAGCTTCCTTAGGTTCACAAAGGCGAGTAAAGGCCAGTGGGAGGATATCCTCCAATTTTACTTGTGGTTCTGGATCCACCGCAGAGCTCCTGTTCTGAAATGTAATATCAAAAATTATCATCATTATAGAATATGGAGCTTTCTGTTCCAATGCTCCTATATTCAACTTAAGGGCTTTCCTTAGTTGATTGCCAAATCAACTAACCAACAGAAAACTATCACTTTTTCCCCACATTCAAACAAATCATATCACACTGGTGCCACTTATGTGGCAATTTCTTTGAGACAATTTCAGATTGAGGGAGTTAAAAATATATATAAAAATAAAAAGGAATAATAGATTTTATTTAAAGGTCTTAATTCATTCTTAGCCTTCAGAAACAAAGAATGAAAAGGATCATACTGCATAAAAGTTCCTTTTGAAAGTGAAAGTTTTATGAAAAAAGTACAAAAATCTTTAGAGTTGTAAAAACAAAGATGGAGAGGAATATTCTTCATTTCAACGTCTGACACAGAGGAAATACTAGACCTTCTGCTTTATTATCGTACAAATACTTTCCAGAGATCAAATTATGTGTCTCAGGGAGGGTGAGTGTTAGTATTTACAAAAAGGAGAAGAAAAACTGGCTCTGGGGATAGTTTTGGGGTCTAATATTGGGTAAAAGTGTCCCTGTTTGCCTTTTCTTGTTTCAAAGATACAATCACACCGCTGCCCATCACTCAGTGCAGGACAGTTAGGAGCATGGGCTCTGGGGCTGGTGTGCTTGGATGTGCAGTCTGTTCTACGTACGAGCTGGGCGATACTGAGCATGTTACTTAGAGCCTCTCGAGGCCTTAGCAGAAAGCTGCACTCTGCATAGTGCACGGCACACAGTGAACACTCAACGTTGCTATTTTTAGTGGTAGTATTACACTGCTCAATCAAACTGTGGTACAGACTTCTTACCTTTCTGTTTCTGGATTTCTGAGGCGTTTTTCTTGATTTTTGGACCACAATAAAACTCCCAGAAGCACCTTTTCCTTTTACCTAAAGTAAATTAATTTTAGTTGCAGTAACCAATATTTTTATTTTGGAATATTTTGGTATTCATATTAGTAGCTTTATATCAGACTACACAAATTACACAGCATGGTGATACAAGAACTAATGTAAAGTGCTGCTGAACTCTTCAGAGGAAAAAGAATAATGGATGAGTCAAAAGACTCAGGATCAAATCCTATTTATAGTACTATCCAGCTACTCAATATTGGACAACCCTGTGAACCCTCTGAGGTTTTATTTCCTCACCTAAAAAACTGGGGAAGAATGCTATTATGATACTAGGTTAGACAGTCTACTACAAGCTTTCAACAAAAAAAAGTCCCATGGAAGGAAGAGATACAATCTCTTGTGGAAAATGAGAAAATCTCTCACTATCTTGAAAGGAAGACAGCTCTTTAACAAAGTTTAGAGTCTAGCTGATCTTAGGCCACACTGTTTCCCAGTTTTCCCATTACAGATTATTACTGCATATGAGAAAGCTTATCTAATAATTTTAAGACATTGCACATATAGTACGTATAAGTCTTATCACATATTTCCAGTTTACAAAGCAGTTTCATTGAACTTTAAAGTTGATTCACCATTAACCCAAGTCCTCCACACCTTAGCTTTACCTACACTGCTCTAAATGTAGCAATCAAGCTGAAATGCTCTCAGCCTATAAACTGTTAACAACCAAACGGAGGGTCAGTCTATGAGTCAAGAATAAGTCACCAACTGTATTTCCATAAAGAAAAAGATGAAACCAGTTCATAAACTCTGCTGACATACACTATAATACAGGACAGGTCTTTCGGTTCTAATTATATTGGTTAGATAATATAATCAACGATTATTTTAAAGACCATTTAAATATCAGTTTTACAGCATTGTGAGAAAGCTACAATGTAAGCTCCACACAGCAGCAATCTCTACTTTACTCACTGATGGACTGACTGACTCCTAAGCACCTGGCACACAAAAGACACTTGATATGGAATTAAGTACCTGTTGAAAGCTCCTAAAGACAGTTTAAATGCCTGAATGGTACCAGATTCTGTATTTATCAAGCTGTGCAGAAAGGTATGGAAGAAAGGCAACAGGACTCTGGGAATGCAGTGAACTAGGCCCTTAGAATCATCTTTGCCACTACCATGGGACCTTGGTAGTTACTTCATCCCTCTGGACATCTGAAGAGGATTTAGATAAGATAAAGCCCATTCTAGCTTTAGATTTTTACGATTCTAAGCAATGTTTTGATGTATTATGCAAAGTAACAAGGACTTACGCCTCAAATCAATATTGGTTTTAGTACTAGTCTCAATTTACTCAGGCTTCTCTGACGCTCCTAACAAACTATTATGGTTTTAGCTACTAATAAATTAAGGTGAACCTATTTAAAAAGCTAATTTATAACGGTAACAAGTCTAGCCATGTAAGTCAGGCATTAAAACTAAAAACCTAAGACAAGAGCAATTATCTTTTTTGCAGTTGCAAGAACAGGATTCCTTAACCCTATTTCTCATCTTCAGCACCACATGATCTCAAGCTCAAGCAGCCCCTAAAGAAAATCCAATTAAAAGCACAAGCAGCTAGAAAAAAATTACACTATCTATCCTATTCCTTACACTCTCTAGAACAGTTAACTTATTAAAGGTAAGTGGCACCAGTGATTTTGAAACTTAGTCTCAAATAAAAACTAGGTTAAGCTTAAACATTTCATCATCATGTTAACATTTTTAACAAAAAAGACACCAAAAGCCTAAATGTTACTAGACATGGACTTACAGCTAATACATGTTGAAATGATCTTATTAGCAACAACTGTTTAATACCTGTTTGATGACACCTCTGTTTAATTCTCTTTTTAGTGCTTGTTTAAGGAGGTAGCCCCTTCTCTCCAGCTCCAGAGAAGGGTACTTATGGATGATATATTTTCGAATAGCAACCACTGATGCACCACTCTTCTGGAAGCATGCCTAGAAAACAGATTTACCAAACCATACACATTATTTAAACTAGTTGTTTTTCATTAGAGAGAAAATCTGGCACATATGTTTCCAAAAAATTATTTTGGAAGTGAACTTGGTAATGGAGGAAAAAAATGGCAGGGAAGAATGAATAGTATTTCAGGTAACTTTAGTTTATCATGGCTGTGGAGAAATACAGAATTACAATATTTCTGCAATAATAATTTTAAATTGTTCAAAACAGCCAAAGAAAAGGTACATGTGAACAACATTCTGTGTGTTAATGAAGAACCTCTTTCCATTTTAATCCTCTTCTATAAGTGGAAGACAGATCTTCAGCATTAAAATGAGGAAAGCAGAACATTTCTATTGTCTGTAGGACCACAGACCTGGCCCATTTTATCAAATGAGCTTTGGCACACTGGGAACAATATTTCTCTGTAGGCTTTGTGTGAACGCCAGTAGAGAGCTAAGATAATCTGAATAAATGGCACAAAAAAGGGTTTATAGATGGCAGAGTCTTAAGGGCACTTTTCAGTAACAATGAGGGCATTCGCTTGGAATTTAAGGTGCCCTCCTATTTCCACCCTATTTATCTGTATTCCATTTGACTCATCCTTATAGAAGACTTAAGTAGGTCATTATGTCACAAACGCAGCAAATTTTTTTGAACGCTTTACATTTTGAAGCACACTTGAGTAACATCTGTTACTTATGTAATGGGCTAGTCCACCAATTTTGTTGCTATTGTCTATAAACTGAATGTAGCACTTACTCATTCTCACTGGATAAAGACTAGTTGAATGTTACATACTTTGACAACAAAGAAAAATAACTCAGAAAGATGGACCAAAAATGACTGTACAATACAAATAAGTTACATTAATATGGGTCATCTACTTCAAGTAAATGTCTCTGGCCTATTACAACCTACTGAAGTTTACTCCCGATCTTACAAGAAAATACAAAGCAAAGAAAATCAAGCAGAAAAGAACTCTCTAATGCTAAAACAATTGCTTGCTCCACCAACCTGACAATGAGACAGAAGCAGACATCAGGATTCCTGTTTGATTCAGAAAATGGTATCAGTGGTCTGAAATCATGATTTGTTACACTGCTTGGAATACATCTGAGAGAGAGATATATATCCCATTTGTACTTATGCACAATAATATTCAAATTATTCTTTAGGCCTGATCATACTGTTTTAATTTTTTGTTTTACTCTTTTAAAATTTTAGTCCTTCCTCCACCCTCACTGAAACCCTGCTCCTCCAAACCTGGGCTGAGTGGTCATGAAGTGAAATCCTTGAAGAAAGGCTACTCGGAGAGATCTCACCATAGCCAAGCTATCTAGACCAAGAGAAGTTTTCTTAATGAGTTGAGAGCACTCTTGAAGGAGTGCAGGGAAAGGTCTGAAGGCAAACTCTTAAAGTTTATATGTCAGTGCTGTCTTCTCAAATTCTGAGAATGACCATCAGGCTGTTCCTGTTCCTTCCTGTACATCATCCTTGGTTAAATTGATCTGTATCCCTCTCTCTCCAATTCTGACTCAGATCCTAGCGACAGGGTCTCTGAAATGAGGGAGCCTATGGCCTCTATTTTAACTCCTTTTATTATCTGATGTGAAATAAATAGGGCAAAATTCACCAGAAAAATTTACACAAAAAAGACAAGGTCAAATTGGAAGATAATCTTAAAAATTAAAACGAAACTATTATCTGATGATCACATAATACAATACAAAACGTGAACAGATTATGGCAAAGTCATAATGCTCTGCAAGGAGGATAATTTTTCCAAGTATTTGGAATGGCTAGGTGGTGAAACAGGGCAGTAAGGTTTCTCAGAGGGTTTCTTATAGTTCAAGTGTGAATGATAACCACTACTAATATTAGATGCCCAGCTTTGAAAAAGGACCTAAAGATAATACATCTTTTAAAAAGAAAAATTCTCAATGCTTTTAGTTACCTCGAGTCACAATTAGATTTCACAAGGGCAAGGACATTGTCTGTCTTTTTCTATGCTATATCACTAGTAGGAGTACCTGACACAGAGAAGTTAGTCCTTAAATGTCTGTTGAATGAATTAATGTGTTCAGCCTTCAAATAAAAACTGTGCTTAACCAATTAAAGTGAGTAAAAAAGAAAAAAAACCTAAAGATAAGTTAAAAATATTTGCTATAGTAAATTTAAATTTAAAAAAATTAACAATGCTCATCAAATATGATCATATTAAAAAGCACGAACTTCACAATGGCTTTCTTCTACTTAAATCTCTTTTAGGAAGCAAAGCAAGATTTCTCATGTCTGAACAGGAGTATGTCATTTTCAAATACGCAAAAGATGAACAGAATAAATCTAAGATGAATTGCTTGAAATAAAAACTTGCCTTAATGGCCTCAGTTAGGATTGCATCCATCTTGGGACGTGGGGAGGAAGCCATCGGTGTTTGTTTCTGGGCCCTGGCTAGCTGGCTGGCAGAAAGGGTAGCCCAGGAAGGTATTGTTTTTTTCACTTTCTTCTCCTTTTCTTTAGACTGATCTTTCTCACTTTAAAACAAAGAATTGTTATTATGCAAGATAAACTCTCTAGAAAGAGGTATAAAGTCAGAAAGAGGAAAAGACTGGGGGAAAAGGGGGTAAAAATTAACGTTTTATTTCCACACTAAGATGATATGTAAAATAAGCAAAATTTTACAAAATCAAACATTTTTGAAAATTTGGGTACTATAAATGAACCAAAAAGGAGTTTTCTCTTAGGCGTAGGGGAGAGGAGTCATATAAATTAGCACTGATAGGAAGGGCCAGTACATAAAAGAAATGAGAATTTGAAAGTGTATCTAGTAACAACTACAACAGATGCAATTTAGTATAGTGGAAAGAACTCGAGCTCTGAAGTCAGAAAACCTGGATTTGAGTTTTAGCTCCAACACTTACTAGCTATACCATCTTAGCAAGTGAGCTGAGTCTCAGTCTCCTCAGCTGTAAAATAGTAATATAATACCAAATACTTCACAAGGCTGTTGCAAGAATTATGGGATTATGTTTACTGAAACAATTTTGTGACCCATAAAGCATTAGACAAATTTTATTCTAAGTAATAACAGCACTCCATGCACCTAAAATACAGGATAGCTGCTAAAAATTCCACAGACCTTACTTAAACCTACGAAAACAAGGATTAAACCTAGAAGGTATATATACCACTGTTATTCTTTTATTCAAAAAGTAATTCCTAACGTTCTGACCAACTAGAATGAATGCTACCAGCCATCTTGCAAAAAAAATTTTAAACTAAAAAACACCACCACATTGAATAGCTTATCAACAGCAAATTCTGCTTTCAGATTCTCATAGTCACCCTCCAACTGAATACTTCATCAAACATGTTACAGAGTTTTATGTCACTCTAGCAATGGCTCGATATCAATTAACATAAGCATATAAAAATAACTCATTCCTGGCCCAGAGGGGGGAATAAAATGGTGAAGTGTCTCCCAGGTGAGATTTTTATAGTCATGTTTCATTTCTTATTGAAATTCTGTCAATGCTTAAAATATCAGACACTCCCACAATAAATTCTAAGCACAAAAACACATTCCAAAGTCACAAGAAATGAACTTTTTATCATTCAAACCATTGTTCTGATAACTATTACAAACTCTAACAGACCATACAACTACATACTAAACACATTTCAAACCATAATTCTAAAAAGTTCTTCCAAATAGCAAATATCTTGTGTAAACCAATGTTATAACACTTCAAACAATCTGATCCACAGTTCTTTTACACAGTCTTCAATTACAAATAGCAAGAAGGCATAACTCCTTACTTCTTTTTGGTTTCCTCAGAAGACTTATTTTCTTCCTTCTCTTCATTCTCAGGCTCCCCCTTTGGCTGCTCTGTCTCACTGGACGTAGCAGGTGGAGTTTCATTCTCTTGTTCTTCTACAGTGGAGACAGATTCCTCTGAACTTACATCTGGTTCTAAAAGATCAGGTGAGAAGTGCATCAAGTAGATATAACAAAGCCTGAGTCAATAAAAGGGTAAAAGTTCATCTTATTAAACAGATAAGCCAAATGTCTCAATTAACAGATGGATGCTAAAATGAACAAACAGCAAGTGTGGTTTTTTCTCATTCTTTATGTCACTTAAGTTGCCTATTCAAGGGGTTGTTTATCCAGACCATTCTGTAAGACAAGGAGATGGACTGGAAATTACATAGAAAGGGAAACTCATTTTACCCCAAATCAAATCTCTTGATTGTTCTACTCTGTAATATTAATGTTGAGACTCATAATTAATAAATTAGCCATTTCATAATTTAACAAATCCTAGTAAGGGAATAAGTAATAAACAATTAACATGTGCTTTCCAAGTGAAACGAGTGGGACAAGACTAGAAATATGAGAAGGGGAGGCGTATTAGGTCTGCAGTTGCTTGTCTGTGTCTGTTCTCAGTATGTCTCTTTAAGCAGCTACTATAAAACACAGAACCCCAGGAAATGGTTAAGCAGGGACTTGAAAGAAAAGCACCCCAGTGGCAAAAAATAAAAGTATATGTTTGAAGAGTTTGGTCATTTAAATTATGTGAACTAATTTAAATAATGATGAAGACTTCTTTGTGGCCTTCACATAAATAAGAGAATTTTTAAAATACCACTTTCTCCTTATAACGGAACTACATAAAGACACTTCTACAGGAATGTCTAGTTTCTCAACAAATTAAAATTCTAAGCCATAAATTTCAGAATGGTCAATTATCATTTGTAAATCTCATCCTGGATTATGCTCTTCAACCAGACTTGCATGTAAGTCAAAACTCCTCCCACATACGTCCAGCCAAAATCAAGGTTTTAGAGTCAGAGACGTCTGGATTCAAGTTCAGTCTTTATAACTTTCTAGCTTGATATCTTAGGACGAGTTCTTTGATGTCTCAAAGTCTCACTAACCTTACCTCATTAGAGTTATTATGAAGATTATATAAAATGCTTTAGGGGAAGCCTGTACTTGTACTATGTGGGTGATTCTCATCCTTCTTTGCCCTGCTCTGCTGCTTCTAGAACTGCTTTGCAAAATATTAAGGACAGAACTTCATTATAACAATAGTATCTGGCGACACAGATAATAACTGCAAGATGTATTTTTTTATCATAATGTATCTTTTACTGTCCCTTGCCCCAAAGATCTGAGCTAAGAGGCTGTGTGGGTAAGAACTCACCATTGGTCATATGTTTGTTTATTCATTGCTTTATTCTAAAAAGGATGAAAAGCTAATAACTGTTTACTGGGTTTTACTGTATTAATAGAACTATAAATTTAATTTCACATTACTTCCCTTCTCAAGAATAATTGCTTAATAGTTGATGGCTTAATAAAGATTCAGTCACTCACAGATATTGAGTATGTATTATAAATAAGACACTGTTTCCAACTCATTAAACTACTGTGTCTGCCTCTGTGTGAAATGTAGGATGTATAAAATTTAAAATATGAGTGAAGTCGAAATTTTTCTGTCTACAAAATACTGTAATGGGATAGAGAGAAGATTAAACAAACATACATCTTGTAAAGTGACTTACTGGTTCTTTACAAATTCTTGGTTGACTTTTCTAATACCTTACATCTGAACCCTCAGGCATATATTCTGAAAACTGATGTTATCAGTGATTTAGCAAATTCAACAGGCTGTTAAACAAATGTAGATCAAGATGAGCCACCAAGTGGCTTATCTCATTGCTGCACAAAATAACCAATCTTCAACCCACCAGCACCTATTTTTTTTTAATATGCTGATTCCCATGTCTCCTAACTGCCTTAGGCTAGGATATCCAAATTGCTTCTGGTCTTCCTTCGAGGATTTTGAGAAAAAATCCAGACTAGGCTAGAAAAGAGTATATCCTTGGTGCACCAAGGGATAAAGGCAACAAGGGGGCATATATTTATTCCTAATCTACGCTGGTCAGCAAATATTTGGTTCTAACAGCCATGACAGGGACAGCACCATGTGCCCATCTCTGGTAAACCTGAGTTAAAAGGCAAGGGAGAAAGGGGAAAAGGATAAGGAAAGAAAGAAAAAGGTCACGAGAAAAAAAAAAAAAAAAGCAGGGAAAAGGAGAAGAGGTGGTTAGGATGCCGTAAAGGAGTACTCCAGGAAGATGCTTCTACATCCCTCAGTTCATTATTTCCCACCTCTGTCTGGCCAATCTTCTCTCCACCAACACCACAGTTACAAATCAATGTTTTGATCGCCCATTTGCTCCCTTAAGGCCTTCTGATGATTTCTGGGTGAGTCTTCCACTGTCCATCCTGAAGGCCCAAGTCCTCCATTCTTCCAGAGTCTTCATCCCCATGACACTGTATGCCCAGAAGCTACTCTTCAACCGTTCCTGCTCTCTCCAACCATTTTTCTGTTTTTAATTCCAAGAACACGAGATTTTCACCTTCCAAAAATCTTTACAGACGAGGCGAAATTCTTACTTTGCCCACATGTCTGGAAATGACATACCAACAGGTACCACTTCTCTCTTTAAATGTTCCCCCAAAATACTTAGCCATGAAAAAAGAACAATTAAGTTCAAGGGAATTTATGGGACTCTCCAAAGGGGAGTAGAAACTTTTGCCTTTTTAAGTTGTCCACTGCTTTACTTTACCTGGCTTTTCTTCCTCCCCTTCAGCAACCTTGCTTTTGGGAGGAGTTTCCCGGGTAGAATTCACAGCTCGACGAATCGGCATGGTGCTATCTTCTACCTTCTAAGAAAAGAGATGGCCATAATCACACATGCATAAAAAAACTCTCTTTTCTTTCTCAAGGGGCCTAAGTGGGTGTCAGAAGATGTAGGAGAATTCTTCAAGTCGAGTCCAGGATCTGATGCAAATTACTTTCAACAAATTTTTTTAAAGTGAAATATGATTTTTAAGAAGTATTTCTCAAAATATTTTATTTTAGCTAGAATTTCAAATGGAAACAACTATATCTGATTTGGAATAAATTCAGAAGGTTGGAGGTTTTCTCAGGAACTCGAGGGGAAAGGGACGATAAAAAGAAATTTGTATCTATTTGATTTTTTCAGATTCACAGCCCAGACTCCCCAAAGCAGGGGAAGGAACATGTACCAAGAAGAACCCAGCAGGGCCTGAAGTCAGGGACTGATCCGAGAGTGAGCTTCAAGAATGTGTCAGCCCCTACCTCACCTAACTTGTCCGCGTGGATCAGCTGAGCTCCTACTATAAGTGGGAGTGCCTTAGGACGGACGAGTTCACCTTGAGATGTATCAGTCGCCATTTAAAATAATTTCTAGGCCCGAGTACAGGTTACACTCTGAAGCCTCTGCTGTTAACCACAAGGATTTTTCCTAATGGTTTCAGTGTGGTGAAGAGTCAACCTAAAGCACAGAAAAGACCTGGTGTGAAGATTAACAGAAACAAAACTAAACTAAAATGTCTAAATTTAATATACATCCAAAGGGAAAAAATATTTAACTATGAAATTTATAGTTAAGTGACAGATGACTTGGGCAGTTATCATACAGAAAGATAAAATCACTATCAAAATACAGACTACGTAAAGCAGCGACTAAGACAAATGCGCAAGCCACAGCAGCTGTTGCACCTTCCACATGAACAAAGGCAACAAGGACAAGAAAGCTTTGAAGGAAACTAACATCAGATAGAATAAGGAGACTAAAGAACACTTTAGTCAAATGTTTACTCAAAGATCAGTTAACTAAAGAGAAAAGGTTTTGCTGTTACTGTACTCAAAGCGGTCAGGAAAACTACCTGTAATCTTAACTACATCTCCATTAGAGAAGTAATACAAGGGCAAAAATACTGCTGAAGAAGACGACATTCTAAGAGGCTCCAGATCCAGAGAAGCAAACTTAGACCATCATCTAGAACAGAAACATGTTTCTAAGACCTTGTCATATTTTTAATATAAGCTAAACTAGCACAGAAGAACAAAATTATTCAAAGATAAAACCCACGTAGTCACTCAAATTTACCTCATCATCAACACTCCTTGCCCCCTCTCCCAGTCTCATCTGGGACTCAGTGACATTTTATAATAAAAATCCCTCAATATAAAAAAATGATCAGTTAAATGTTTAGATCTCTGTGCTTACGAACATTAACAAAGAGTTGGGGAATGGCAGACTAGTCAACTTCTACTTTAAGTTCCAACCCTGTTTTGGAATGTAAGAGTTTTTGATTTGTCCAGTAATAGTCCCAAGCTACAACAACTGGGATAAATCCAAAAAGCCAAACATAGAGAATGCTTTCATATTTATAGGGAAAATCTTTTTATGGGGACACCAAGAGCAATGCCAGACTTCCGAATTGTTAATCGGCTGCAAAGAAAGGAAGCTGAAAGAATCCAAGATAGTATGATACACTAAAACTTACTATCAAGACTAAAATAGGAATATCCACGAATACTTAAAAAATATCAACTGTTACAAAAACTACTTAAAATGTCCATATAGCAATTCACTTCAAGTAACTAAAAAATACAAAAATAAAAATGGTTGTTTTTTGATCTGCGAAAGGGGGCCAAGTTGAGTTTAAGGGCATTATTTAGGTTGGTGAAACCTCCAAGTCTATCTTAGAACAATTTCAATATATAAACCTACTCATTAATCCAACTAGCACTTACATCGTAATATACTTTCCTTGATAATAGAAAAAACTAAACAAATTTTGCTGATATTTTTACACGTGAACACTACAGGAAAATAAAACACGACAATCAGGTTATTCTTGGCAAAGTGATACTGCTAATGAATTCCTCCTTCCTAACCCATGATAACACTATATGGGTTGAAAATGCTACTGTGAAGTCAACAAAACCTTCAAGAGTCTCTGTTCACTGGGTATCTTTAAAAACTATTTTCCCTGTAAACAAAATACTGAAGAAAGTGTCAAAACCTTTCCAGTCAACTCTATATTCACTAATTACTCAAAATCAAATCAAATAGATTAAAAAAGGGAGGGGGGTACAGCAAGCTACTCTTAATGCCTAAGTGATAAAATGGACTAAAATCAGGGCAACAACAGGTATGTGGTCTATAAACACATCACACATCCTTTACCTAAAGACAAGAATGATAATTAAATTAAGCTGGAAGTATGCCCAGGTTATTCCAACCTAGAAATAAGCACAGAAAAGCAGTGTGAGAAGTAAGGTGGTTTGCCAATCTTCCTGGCTGCATCCACCAAAAAAACATCAAAAAAATCTCTATTCTCCTGCTGAAAACCTCACAACTACCAGCCCCCTTATTTCACTAATCTCACCTCCTACTACCCTACCCATCACTCTAGTCTCCTAACTGCAAACACACAGACCTCCTTTAGGCCCTTGGACTGCGCTCCGCTCATCCCTGCCTCAGAGCGTTTGCACTTGCTGTTCTCTTAAGCTGGAACACTCTTTTCCTAGACACTTCAATCAGGTTTCTGCTCAATGTTACACCCTCAGAAAGCCCTCCTATCCCTCTTATTCTTCTTTAGGTTTCTTTATAGCATTTAACACCACCCGCAATTCAATATATGTCTGTTTACTTGTTTATTATGTGTCTCTCCCAATGGAATGTAAGCACTACCAGGGCTGGGACTTTAACGCATTACTGTATTCCCAGCACCTAGAACAGTACCCAACACATGGTGGGGGCTGGATAAATACTGGGGAAAAAAAGCTGAATGAACAATGACATCTGATAGTACTTATTTCTATACCCAGTATATGTGACGAACACTTAAAAAATAAAACCCAAAGTTATTTGGGATAAATATTTAGAAATGTTTGCCCCAGTTCTGAACTTCCTTAGTAAAGGTCATGGAACTTGAAGCTTCAGCCTATAATACTTTCTTTATAATAGGTTGGTTAACGAGTTATTTAATAAGTTCACTGTTATTACAAAGCTAACAAGACTAAGATCTTCCTCAACTTACAATGAGCTCATGTCTCAATAAACCCATCACAAGGTTTATGCACTAAGAGGCTGAGCAAAATCAAGTTATCAAAGATTTTTTTAAAGCAGTAGAAACCTTTACACACACACTGTCATTTCACAAGATGATTAAGTGTGTGTTTATTTCAAAAGTAAAAAAAAAAAAAGAAAAGAAAAGAAAAAGTAGACATTACAAAGTAGACACAGTCCTCTTTCAGTAAATCTTTGAGGTCCAGAGCTGATCTCATCCCAGAATTGTGCAATTCAACAACAGATTGAACTCCCATGCTGGAACTCACCATCATAAAGTTGAAAAATCCTAAATCGGGGACGTCTGAATATGGACGGTTAATTCATACCGCCTCAACATCACCATGTACCTACTAATTTAACTTTTGTTGCTGCACTTCTGAATGATCAGACTTTGAGGCTGCCCAGCTTGTTCCCTGGCAGAGAGCTTATCTAGCTGGTTCACGGCTGGAAACCTGGTGCCTAACAACCTACCAGACACAGAATAAGTGCGCGACAAATATTTGTTAAATAAAAAAATGAACAGATGAAACGTACTGAGTAAGTTTTCCATCTGGGTTCTTACAAGTGCCAAAACCAATCTGTGTTTACCTTTGGTTTATGTGGTCCTCTTGCGGTGACAAGTCTTTCTGTCTCTTTAATTTAATGTTAGATTAACAATACAAAGATCGGCTTTTGTCAAGGGAAATGCTAAATAGCTTTAATGCAGGCAGTAAAGAAAAGGTTGTAAAAGCAGAAAGTCCAGAATTTCAGAGTTTTAATTTACTTTCTCTACATTAAGAGAAAGCAAAAGAAAAATAAGCAGGATAAACAATGTATTTCAGTTTACTGACAGCCTTGAAAATACGCATTTTAGGGAAAGTATTATTATTTCATATTTTACTATAAAATGTATGCAGTACATTATACATTATAATGTCATTAGCTATGTATGCACTGACAACAAATTGTTCCCAATCTAAAGTCTTTCACCACGTTTAGACTTAATGGGTAACGTCACAAAAAGCACGCCTGTAATTTGGCCGCTGCTCACTTTTTTTTTTTCACTTACACATTTCAGTAAATCAGCGTGTACTTACTTAGCGCCTTTGGGCACTAACTGGTCCCTCCTCACAAGATAACCACAATCCAATTGGCTCCACAGTTGGGACTTTCACCCGCATCCGAAGAGTTCAGGATACCGCCCCCCACCAACTTCCCGCCCTCAATCGTCCCAGCCTGAAAACGAAGCCAAAAAAGCCCTTTAAAATGCGGCTCCTACTTTCAAACACGTTACACTAAACTTTTGAAAGGAGCAATAAAAAATTTTAAAGCTCATAATAGTTTTATGCTTACGCCAGATTAAACAAAACTGAAGTACATTCCAAAATAAAGCGAGTCCCGCCTGACTCCACACTGAGGACAGCGGGCTCATCAAGTCCCAAGCGGATTCCCGAACGCACTTCTGATCCCACCCGCACTTCCCACGGCAGCAGATAGTCAGGAAGCGGGACACACCGAGGGACCACGCGGAGGGAGCGGCCCGATCACCTTGTCCAGTCCTCCGCGCAAACCACAGGGACTCGTCCTCGGCCGCAGACAGCGGTCCAGCCGGCTCAGGGCCGCAGCGCTCACCTCACCACGCCCGCCTCCATCGCCACAAACGCTCCCGCGCGCAAGTCCGCCCGGGCCGCGGCCGCCGCGCGAGCCACAGGCTCTAGCAAGAAGGGACGGGACGAGGAGGGCCGGGCCCGCGCCGGAGGACGGGAGCAGGCACGGCACACAAAGCGGCGGGGAGCGGCCGCGGCGGCGCGCGAGCAGCAGCGGAGCCGAGAGGAAGGCAGCGGGCGAGAACCGGGCCCGGCGGCGGCGGACAGACACCCGACCCGCGGGCGGGCTCCGCGCGGCTGACAGCTCAGGGCTCACGCCGCGCAGGCACGCGGTCCCGGCCGACGCCGCCACCCGGCAGCGCCCGCGCGACACAAGCGGCGGCGGCCCCGGAGCACCGGCGCTCCGCGCACTCACCACTGGGAGCTCCGTAATGGCGGCGGCGGGGGCGGAGAGCCCGGGGGGCGGGCCCGCCGCAGCCAGTCACCGCCGCCGGCATCTTTCGAACCGGCTCGGAAAACCGCTGAGGGAGTGGGGGGAGGGGGGCCGGGGGCGGCGGCGGGGCCCACCGACGGCCTCGGGAGCATGCGCAAGCCCTCAGCCAATCGGAGCGCGGCGGGGGGACGCGGGCGCAGGCGCGCTGGCGCGCAGGGCCCTCGACCAGGGAAGAGCTCCCCCACCTCCCCCCGTCCAAACAAAACAAGGGCGGGAGCGCGCGCGCCACAGGGCCCCGGAGGAGGCGTCAACAACAGGGGCAGGGGGCTAGGTCGCAGGGGGGAGGGGATGGGAGGGGCGGAGCGGCCGGGGAAGGCGGACAAAAGGCACCACCTCCGGGGACCCGAGCGCCCCGCCCCCTCCTCTCGGGGAGCGGCGTCGGCGCCCCGGGCGAGCGGCCTCCACCAGGCGCCTCCGGGGTCCAGTGGACCCGCGCCCACTCCCCGCGCGCTCGTTCCGTCCTGCGTTACCTCTGCGCTCCCCCCTTCCTGGCGCCCGCGTCCCGCACGGCCTCTGGGCGCCGCTCCCGCCGCCGCTCGTCGCCTCCGCCGCCGCTGTCCTCCAGGCCCAGCCGCCGAGCTCTGCCGCCCCGCCCCCCTGCCCGCGGCCCCGAGCGCGCGCCCCCGCGCCGGCCCCGCCCCCGCGCCGGCCGCGCCCCCAGCCCGCGGGAGCGGAGGGAGCGCGCGGAGCCTCCCCGGCCGGGCGCGCGGGGCCGCGAGAGGGTGCTGCGGCGCGGAGCACGTCCGGGCGGGGTCTGTGCGCCCGCGCTCTTCACCGGGCGCTGGCCTGGGGGCGCCCGGTGGCCTGGGCGGTGCGGTCTCGGTCTCCTCGGAAGGGCGCTCCTTTCACTCCGTGCCGTTTCTCTACTGTCTAGTTCAGTACCTGGTCTTATCCGGGGTCTTAAGTGCTTTGGCGATCCGTCTGCCTTTAAAAGGGCTGGCGCTTCCCGCTTCTCAGTTCAGCGACAGCGCAAGAACAAACTACCCTTCTTTGAGGACCGTGGAAGGATTGAAAAACCACATAGCGGAAAATTCAGTACCTCACATTCGTTCCTATTAAGTATCCAGACAGTACAGGGCAGAATAGTGACTCAGAGAGGGAACTGGAAAAGTTACTTTTCTAATCTGTGCAACGGTCTTCCCTAGCTCCGTAATCCGCATAGGCAGGGAGGGTTCTCAAAATAAAATCCTGGGATTAGAAAAGAAAAGAGGGAATTCCCTTTGAATTGTCATACTACGTTGGTATCCACATACTTATGCAATTTACAAACTATTGAAAAGCGTAACTTTTCAAAGCCAGGTTGGAAAAATTCGATGTATTTAAAGTAGCAGGTGTTTTGTAGAGCTAGAGAGAGTGCGGGTAATGAATATATGGAAACGGTAAACATTAGAATTGCCCTGAGGCTCACAGCAGTGTGACCAATGCTCAAATGCATGTGCCAATCATTCTAACGATTAATTATGAAACTATTTATGCACTTGCTAGCCCAGTCCTCAGCTCTGCCATTAGCATTTTAACTGTCTCACCAGCTTTCCTAGCCATAGCCATCGACTCCATCAATTCCAAAGTCAGCTGTATAAAAATTTCACCACCACCACCAAAAATTCCTTATGAGATGAGCGTTATCGCTCATGTCCTGATCGCATTACCAATTCCCTGGCAGTCTGGTGTCATATTCAACCTGTTCACAAGGGGTTTTGGTCATTTTTTGCCATTTCTTCCTCCTCACTCCTTTTGTTCTTAACATTTCTATCACGTTTCCCTCTTTAAAAAACCCTATTTCATTTTTAAGTATTCATATGCTTAAAACATCCTACCTTTCTTTTTTTCCCCTAAAATGTCTTTAGCCCCCTCTTATGCAAGAAGCTGACCCAGGTAAGAGCAAACTAGATTTCTCCTCCTACACAGATTTTGCTTAAAAAACTCCCAAACCACCACCACACAACTTATTCTGTGGTTTATAACATGTACACCCAAGAGAAAACCCTGAAACAAAATTCTTCCTCGAGAGTGGGCACGCGCACACACACAACCACGTGCTAAAAGCTACCACTTGCTGAAGTCTGAAGCTGTAAGTTTTCTACTTACAGAGGAATTTGAAATTTGTATTGCATGTGTCTGTTGGTGGGGGCATTTTGCCTCTGCTAAAGGTAACGGTCAGTTTTGAGTTTTACGCTTAGCTACCTCTCAGTTCAGTCTTCGTCGGGGTATGGTTTTATCGTTTATCTCATTTGGCTACACTAGGAAAAATATTATTCAATTTTGTTTGTTAAACAGAGTTACATCATTTTTGTACACTTTACTTAAGCCATTAGGCTGTTTGACCTACGGCACTGGAGGGAACATACACCTTGGCAAGTTAAGGAGCACGTCAGCTCTTACGGAGTGTATGAAAGTTACCATCAGAGTACCAGTAAGACCCCTTGCTCGAAGAAACCTCTCACACTGATATCAAAGTCCCTGAAGTTCCATCTTTCAGAAATTCCTTTGGTTTAAGCCTCACTCTCTTCTATAGCACTTTTAAAGTGCTAACACCAAGGAGAGCTAACATACAATTCATTGTTTTAACCAAACTTCAGAATCTAAAGCTTTCCCTTCAACAATCAGGGATCAGAAAAGTAAGAACTCTGGGTGTCCGCCTAGCAGAGGAGCTTCTGGGAGAGAGAAAAAGAGTAAATGTGCTGCAGTCTGCGATGATTTCACAATTCTGCCCAGGTAACAGGAGTGACTTGAGAGTCCCAGAAACATGGGGAAATGTAGGGTTTTGTGAACTAGAAAACCAAGTGTTAAGAATTCCCCACAATGCAACTGCATCATCTCTAGTTTTCAACAAAACGCTTTTTCAGAAGCCAAGTCCCTGTTGAAACTTTAGCATACAGCAAGCTTCACAGACGTTCCAGACTGTTATCAATGCAATAGATTGTTTTTTGCTATTCCTCAAATTTAAAGCTGTGTGATACTTAAGTCTGTTAGGCTAAAAGGTCTTGTTTTGTATAGAAAAGCAAAATATATGACTTTAGAGATTAAGGCATAAAAATAGAGGAAGTTGAAGCAACTGCAGATTCCAAGAATGTTCCAGACCAGAGCTATGACTTTGCAGTCATGGGGTTGAGCACTGAAAGATACATCTACCTATTTTACTCATATTCCACCTTGTGTTAACAAGGGGAGGTTTGAAGAATAATTCTTGATTGCCTGGTGGGGAGAGAAATTTTCTGTTCCTAGCAAGGTTGATCTTTATTCTTCCCACAAATCAAGGCTGAGAGATTGTGATTTCATGCAGAAGTAACAGAAAGCCAAGCCAGGGCTTGGATCCCTTAAGAATGTATGGTCCTGGCAGGGTTGGGGGTCACTTGACTTTTCTGGTTTCCAGCCAGAGAGAACGGAAATGGCTCTCAATTTAGCTGCAGCTTGTAAAGAGATGGTAAGAGAATTAACAAATTACACTATTAGGCAAAAAATGGAGGCTGATGAAAAGATT